AAGGAAAGTTTAATGCAATCACTGTATTCGCTAAAAGAAGTGATTTACAACATATTGTACACATTTTCAATGAGAAATCTACTCATGAAGAAATTGCAAACGTAGGAGAGCAATTTATTTCAGGTTGATACATCTGTACCTCATCAGAAAGCAGTCTAGATGAATACCGATTTATGTACTTCAACAAACTCGTTGGTAAAGCCAACAACATTATCATGTTGTCAAAACCACCACCAACTTCTGCTGCAGCTCGGCAACACTCGTATCGGGTTTTTCACCAAATTCAAGCATGGAGAGGAGAGAGGAGTTATGCTCGAACCTACCGACTGGGGGGTGGAAAAAAGTTGGCAGTATATTAGCCCCAACAATGACAAACAAAGAGCCAGCCCCCGCATCTGTTTTAACGCTTATTTCATGTTCATGCAAATCAGATGTAGCTGCAGAACTTGTTATCATTGTGTTATCATTGCCATGGAAGTCATGCTTGAATATTGAACCTGTGGAAGATGACGAAGATTACTAGTTAACATTTGATAATTAGTGGATTAGGCCTACAGGGGATACCACTTTAAAAAAAAACGCATCAAATACTTTACCTCTACGGTGATATGGAAATAAGTACAAATCACCCTTTTTATAGGGGTAGGGGAGTGTGAGAGAAGAATGTATATTATTAACTTTAGAAAAAAAGTATAATTATCTTTTTGATAGAGAATTTTACGAAGAACAATTTTCTATGTAGGTATTTTGTCGAGAATTGCACCGTTGCCGAGATTATCTAAAAAACTCAAAATGGGGGTAGAAACGATGTCCTGGGGATGACGCACACTATTTAGGGGTGGAAACTATTCGGTTTAGTAATCCTCATGTTATCCCCAACATACCTACCAATTTTCAAAACTTTCTGAATTTTGTCGAGTTTAAATCGTAATATTTCTGGATTATAATGAACAACGAACTAGTAGACAGAAAAGACCTTCGAAATCAGCGAATTTTTCTGCGTCGATCTACTTAGGTTTCATCCTAATAATCCTATGGTTTGGCGCATTGAACATTTTAAATTTTGAATGAATTACGAGAAACATAATGTCTTAAGCGACAGAGTTTCAAAATAAAACAGACATGTTAGCCTTTAATTAACAGACACGTTAGCCCTTACCAATCGCATTCGGTGCGAATGGTAAATTAATTAATTTTGCTTTCATAAAAACTGACAAATTTAAATATTAATCATTTTGCTCTACGCGTTTTAGTAACCTCTTGACAAATAAAACCATTCGATGTGATTAAATAATCACACATTTGGCGTATTAAACAATTATGCTGTTTCAGTTTTTATTAGTTTTTGCCTATAAGTCAGTATATCTCTAATAACTAACCAGAGACTGATGAAGAAGACAATGACATCTGAACAGACTAGAATTTAGAATTAGAATAAGTGGGGGGGTTAATCTCTGCGACCTTAGAGATCTATTGTGTCCCCCTTTCTTGAGTTATAACTCATCATACAGTCCCAGGACTTCCTACGGAGACCCGTGTCCCTCACAGTCGAGGAGCTACGACCCAGGCCGGGTAGACGAAACGGTAGCTTGTGTCGCCTGTTGGGTTTAGAGGTAGGAGGTAGGCTCCCGACCCTTGGAGGAGGTGGTAGCTTGTATGCCACTTGCGGAGGATGGTCTCACGCAAGTGTCAGCCACCTCTCCTGTAGTTCTCTTTGGGTTTGGCCCCTTGGAACTTTCATTGTTACTGTTCCCAGTGTCGCTAGGGGGTTTCCCCACAGCTTCACCGGTGATGTTTTTATTACCATTATTATCAGACTCATAGTGTTCCTATGAGTCGCTAGGGACAGTCGGTCCACTTCTACAGAGCCCCGCATGTACAAGTAAGGGGTAAAATACAATGGGGTGCCCCCCGGTGCCCCAAGGTTGAGGCTGTCCGTAGCCCCGCCCGGTATCGTTATATGTCTTGGTGCAATTCCCTGGCCACGACACTACAGTCAGGGACAAGACGATGAGTGAGATGCTTCTTAGACCAAGCCAAGTGCTAGAGGGGATTCCCCCCAGAAAACCTGACCAGGAGCTTCCCCACCAACGACAAGGTCTTGCATCTCCTAGGGGAAGCTGAACAGACTAATAAAAAAAATGTATTTTCCACTTAATTAGTGATTCTAGTTTAGGTTTCAGATTACTAATACTACTTTTTTTTTAGTTTTAATGTTTCTTAAGAGAAAATAGACTTGAGACAAAAGACAGTTAAAGTATGTTCCTAGTTTAAGAGTACAAAATAATGAAAATTTATATTTTTATACAAGCTACATTATTTTTGCTATTTTTGTGTAATTTAGTTGCTTTGTAGTATAGGATATTTTTTTTGTTTTATGTTGGTTTTGTTTAAGCATTTTTTAAATAAAGAACTGTATTTCTAGTTTTTTTCTACCTAGTATCATTTTGCTTAAAATATAAAACTGTTTTTCTTTAAATACACTATCTCCGTTGTGCGTAAAAGATAACATTTATTAATTTATTTTTAATAGAATTTTACTATCTAAAATCAATTTGTTTGTAAGACTTTTTTAAAAAATGCAGTTCGATTATACAAAAGAATACAAATTTATATCCAAGTAGCTATTATTATACATTTCTAAAATGTATAAAAGTGTTGCAAAGTTGCACCATAAAACCATATTAAAGAATCGAAATTATTTTTCTTTTACTTATATTACATTTTTCTTAAAAAATTTGCTTCAAAATTTTGGTCATAAGCCATTTCTGTTTGCAAAAAAGTAATATTCATTTATAATATTATACATTTATCCTGTTTGAATTTCAAAACAATATTGTATAATACGCCCCTAATTTTGAAACCAATTGAAGATAGTTGATAAATCATACACTTAAATTTGGAAAATGAAAATACAACCCACGTGCTTACAAAAAATCTTATCTTGGACAATACCTCCACCTCTTATGATTTTTGTTCGAAAAAACTAATCTTTAAACGGGTCGAAAGTTACGAAAGGGGCGTATTAGCAGTTTCTCCTTTTAACCGTCGATATACAGGGTGTCCCAGAAATAAGTGCAAATATTTTAACTGGTAGTATAGTTCAACCCCAGAAACACGCCTATGAGGTTTTTTTTGCGAAAAAAAATGTTGAAAATTTAAAATTTTTCTTGACATTTTCCGGGAAATTTGAAAAAACCTTTTAGTGCCACTTGTTTATTCACCTGAGATTTCCCTAAGGTGTATCTAAACCTTGCAGTGTTGCAACCTCCTATGTTATCCACATTCTACATAGTTCGGCGGAACATAGTTCTACATTTATAAATTCATAGACAAATTTCTACTCAAAAAATTAGGAATCTTAAATTTAATCTTTTATCAGTGCTCATTATTAATAATTATAGAAAAAAAACACATTAATTATTTTTAGTACTTACCCTTTCAATGAAAACTTAACAAAAACCACCGAAAATTAACTAAAACATTACGTATTTTGTTTTTTCGCTATTTTTTCGCTATTTTTTCGATGTATTTCTACAATTCCATCGACAGCCTAACCGTCAGCCAAGAACTACCGCGTGTGAACTGGTCCTTTGAGTCGCCGGTCGCCGCGCCGTCGTGGCGGGCTTGCGTCAGACGACGATGTTACGCAACATTGCCGTAGTTACAACAATTTCAAATTCAAGACATTCGAAGCAATCAAATTCGTATTAAATTTTAAAAATAAAACAGAGAAACATGAAAGGAAATAAACAAAACAAAAATGAATTTATTATTCGTCGGGCTGTTTTCGATGTATTTAATTCTGAATTACGATAAACATTTTAGAAATTTCTTTTTTGTGACCTTATCAATAACCAATTCATTTGTGTTTTGTTTGTTTCCTCTCATGTATTTCTGTTTTATTTTTAAAATTTAATAAGAATTTGATTGCTTCGACTGTCTTGAATTTGAAATTGTTGAAACAAGCAGGCAACCTCGCATGACGCAAGCTCGACACGGCGGCGCGACAAAGGAGCAGTTACCAGTGATGCGCCGTTCTCTTGGCCGACGGCCGACGCGACGGTTTGGCTGTCCATGGAATTGTTGAAATACATAGAAAAAAAAGCGAAAAAAAATACGTATTTAAAATTGTTGAGTGAAACATGTATTTTCTTAGATTGAAAGTAGTTCGGAAAGTGGCGGTAAGACACAATAATTCTCAACATTTATTCATTCAGAAAGGTATTCAAACTAATGTGTGCTTTTCAGGGTGTTTTGTAAATCAGTGGTTCAAATTGTGATGAGGCCTATATGAAAATAATGTGTTAAAAACGGGGACTGTTATTTTAGTAGTTATTATAATAGCATGTACAAGTAAAGCAGCACAGTGAAGTGTGTTTTAGTTAAGTGTATATCGAAAAAGAGAACTGTCACAGTTACATCGATCTGTCATAAGTATCTTTTTTAATGTTGGGTAACTTTTTTAATTTAACTTTTTTAACACATTATTAAACATTTAACTTATGTACTTTAATATGTAATAATATCACAATCTTAAAAATGTAATGCATCTCTGCAAACTCCTCAGGTGTTGTGATTTTATGACTTACTTTTAACATATACTTTCTTGTCCCTATGGCAACACAGTGCGTCGAATTAACTGAAATCCGGGCTTGATCCGGGTAATTGGATGTAGTTGGCGATATCTGCCGGCGGTTCTCAAAATGTTGCGATTATTTTTTTAAATTTTCAAAGTTAAATAACTCGGTTATTTTCAATTTATTTTAAAAATGGTAAAGAGAAAATATGTTTATTTTGACCAGATCTACCACCCTTTAAAATATCTGCACTCATTTCTGGGACACCCTGTATATTATCTATACATAGCATATGTATAACATACAACACGCCCATTCTAATAGTAGTGACATTATGCGAAATAACAATGCATTATAAATCTTAAGAGTTAAAACAAAAGCACTGTATTACTTGTAAAATTTTTAATCACATTTTCTTACCTGTATTTTGATGTGGACTAGCCAATTCTAGATTAGCAAATGAGAACAGCATGAAGAGAATAGTGCTGTGAGGCACTGAACTTCCAGAAACTTGCCCTGCTATAATATCTTCCGGTGTTTGGATTATAAGTGATGCCATCGATTTTAACAATCTATACGGGCGACCCAAGTTTGTTAAATTAGGACAAATCACTTTTAAAGCTTCCTCTAGATGATGATAATCTGATTGTAAACGATGACGTCCACCTTGGCCCACAGGCCTTAGAATCGCCGAGTGGCGCACCAAAAGATCAATGCATTTTATTGCTATTATATTGCACCTGTAAAATAAAGTAAAATATCATTACTTTGCCGATTTGTGTTTAAAGACGCATATAACAGGGTGAATTCATTCTTTTTTCAAACGTCATAAAAGTATTCATTTTTGCGTACAGCCAACGTACAGACTCGCCACAAAAAGTGCCATTTTTACTCCTAATAAAACAATATACTATTAGTGTTATATTTTTTTATTTGACTTCATATAGATGTTTTTAAATTGATATCAAAAATCGTGAGCAAATATACAATTTTTAAACTAAATGTACACAGTTTGGCAGCCTGAAGTTTTTTCAACATGATTTTACAAAAAAGTTTGAAAATGTTAAGCCTACTAGATTTTCATAGCCAACATTCTTGTGACAAAGACTAGTTGTTTAAAAATGTATTGTCATTGGAAAAGAAAAATTATGATTTGATATTTCGTGAATTAAAGGCTTTTTTTTCTAATTGCTAGTTCTTTTTTATCCCCACTAGCCGTTCTGGCAAAATAAGTGTAGTGTGCTCGATAGTTTTATATCGATATTGTTGTGTTCCCAGCCCTAATTAGTTGAGACTTGCTCCTTACTACTTTCTTGTAGCGTGGGGACGCGAAAAAAAAGACAGACGACAGCAGACGCCAGCCTCTGCCAGGGGGGTGACAGTGAAATAGGAAAATTGGAAACAGTCATTAGTGTCATTCCTGTCATTCTCTTCACGACAAGTATGGCCGCCTAGACAAGGACAGCATTGTTTTTGTCTAACTATTGTCTAACTTCACAGTTTAGAATTGACAGATTTCAATTTCAGAGACAACTTCAGATTTGTTCTAGAACAAATTCGAAAATATTCGACGCCATTTTAATTCATTCCGTTAAGTTTCGTTTTGGAAGTTCAGTTTAATATTTCGGCTGAAATTTATAAATATAAAGGTAATAAAGTATATAAAATATGTATTACATGAAGAATCCTGGAGAAAATGACGTTTATGCAGTATGTATGTCCCATGTATATGAAAAATAGGTAGTAAATAAACTGTTTTTACATTTTTTAGATGCAAGAAAATGGTGTTATAATCTCCTTGATCGGCGATTTTTTTGAAAATGGAAACAATTTACAGCAAGGTAAGATCATTTTTAACTATAGCCAACATTAGTTATCTCCAGTATGTGCGATTTATTGTCAATAATGCAATAAATCGGACTGATAATCTGATTATATTATCCGACTAAAAGTCTCTTTTTGCATCTTTTTGATTTATAAGCCAGGTTCTTTGGGAATAATGGACGCTTTTTTTAAACAGTATATTTATATTTTATACCTATTGATATTTTTACATTGTGATAAAAAAATTGTTTTTCTGTTTTCAGGTTTTTTTATAATGCTCCCGTTTTCATATTCCTGTGTCCGTTTTCTGTCCTTGAAGTTTGCGAATGCGTGTGTTTATTTACAAATTACTGTAAGTCATCATCAACTTAACTAATTTACGTTAAAAGTGCATATAATTAACTAATTGGTATTGAAACAATACAATCCTCTATATTTTTATATTTATTTAGTCACGTTGTTCCATATTTCAAATAAATATATGTGAATAAATTATTTTTTTGGTTTTATTTATGAAAAGAAAAAATACAAAATACATTTGAACTGAAAGAGGGCCCGCCATTGAATAACCGGAAACGGAAATGAAAATTAAGCCATCATGTCCTTATCATGTCAACCTGTCAATTGGAAAGTTAGTTCTCCAGACGACAACGAAGGCTTTCGGTGGCGTATCGTGTTTCCACGATTTAACACAGAGTTGACACTTCTTTCTAGTTAATTATTTTATGGCCTCTGCGCCAGCTGACAGAAAGAAGACGCGATACGATTAAGACGAATAATTTGTAATAAGACGATTACAGCTTACACCAAGACGAATTAAAACCAACGCGTGACGATAGAAGACGAGAAAGAGATAGTAAGGGGGCAAGTCCAAACAATTGTTAAGATTTGTTTAAAATTTAAACACACATACCTACTTTTCCATTGTGTTGTTAACCATTAAACTGAGTTTTTTATGAACTCGTTTTTTAAAAAATACAACCCCTAGACAACTGATAAAAAGCCTACATAAGTATGCTATATAAGTACTTACTTTTCAGACAGCACTTCCTTATTATGAAAGTTAACCAAGTATGTATTATAAACTCTCGTTATAAACTGTATTAACTCCTTCATGTATGGGCTACAAGGTAAATTTTTGTTTGCTACTACTTGAATTTTTAACCAATCTGGTTCCAAATGCATGGTTACCAAAATCGTCTCTATTACAGAATTTATCGATACTGAAATAATAAAAATGTTTAATACGCTTTATTATTATACAGGGTGAATCATAAATAAGCACAAATAATTTTAGTGGTGGTATATTTCGACCCCAGGAACACGTCTATGAGTTTTTTTCGCAAAAAACTGCATTTTCTTTTAAATTTTCCTGTATATTTTAGAAAACTTTCTAGAACTGCGTGTTGGATTTAACTGTGATTGGTTTCATTTTATATTTTCATTTCCATAACGATTTCGCTGTTTTACTTATAGTCCAAAAGCTAGCAACGTTTTCGAGAGAGAATTTTAAGAAAGCTCTAATATAATAATATAATCTTTTGCTATGCTCTCCTGAACAGAGAACGGACCATGTGGCTGCTGGTAGACGTTGCGTTCACTTCTGCGCACCATATCTGTATTCAACATCTATTCATTACTGCGCATCACTAATTCGCCCTGTATTTCAGGAACTAAGGAGGCTAGGACAAACATATGTGTAGCATGCTTAGTTTCATAAAAAAGTAGCAAAGTAATGTGAAAATCGCATCATTGTATCTGTACTCATAAACGATAAATCAGAAATCCCATAAAACACATGAAAATGGGATACATTGTACAGATGTAATGCGTAGTAGTGAACCGCTGTAGTCTACCGGCAGTCAGATGGCCCGCATTTTGGTCAGGAGAGCATAGCAAAAGATATATCAAAAAACCAGTTTTCTTAAAATTCTCGTTTTCCTGACGTCGCTAGCTCTTGTACTATTATATTTGTATTAAAGTTAGATTAAACTTGTCAAAAAGTGTTAAAACGTACGTTATCGTACGATCTTTCGCCGTTGGTAGATTGGAGTAAAAAAATTATGGGTGAAAAGTGGCATGAAAGTGCTAAGACCAATTAGAGCGCCGTCGGACCATCGCATCGTATCAACAGATAACGGACGCATGAAAATCAAGCTTTATTCGAACTTAGGCTCACTCTAAATACAATATGTAATGTTATTCAACCGTGGTAACAAAACTTGCGGTTATCAAAAGACTTACCTAATATCAGGATGCGTATTTCCATAATATATTACGTAGAGAGTATAGGGTCTCTAAGCCCCGCCCACAAGCTTAGTTCAGCCACAAATTAACTACAACAGATGCGAAAGAACACCGAATTACGCGTTCAAGTTTCTGTGACCTTCAGAAAGAGTTCATAGACAATCCGCATCAATGTATAGTTTGGGTTATTATTCGTTTGGGTGAAAATAATCTGCACCAATATGTTATCGAGGCATATAATCTCACAGTAATTTAATAGATTGCTCGTCATATTATATCAGTTCGTAGGAGATTAGGAAAAAAAGATATTTATAGTATAAAAAATTAATTATTTAACAAAATTTAATTAAAGATGTGACAAAATAGTTACTTTTCTAGTGGTTCTATCGGACTTTTTTCGACTCTATAAATCTTTATTTTTTGTAAACTTTAATGCATAAAATATTTTCAATCTAATAAATAATTTAATGATGTAAATAAGAGGAAATTTCTCACATGGGTGGTCAAATTCTATAGTTTTCATTATATCAAACAGCCTCTGAATGTTTTCTTCAGTGCAAAACTCATCAAAATTTAATATAAATAATTTTTCCATTTCCAGTAAATAAAATGAACAAATTTTTCCACTTTCATGATCAAAGGCTTTTAAATGGGTAAATAATTTCGAGTTATCCAGAGATTCGGATTCTTTTGCAAATTTTAGACAAATATCACATTGATGTATTTGAAGACCCTTTTTAATTGATGTAGTCAAACATAATTAAAGGCATTTTGAGTTGAAAACATTTCTCAGAGGCTGTTTGATATAATGAAAACTATAGAATTTGACCACCCATGTGAGAAATTTCCTATTATTTACATCATTAAATGATTTATTAGATTGAAAATATTTGATGTATTAAAGTTTACAAATAAAGATTTATATAGTCGAAAAAAGTCCGATAGAACCAATAGAAAGGTACTATTTTTGTCACATTTTTAATTAAATTTTGTTAAATAAATTAATTTTTTATACTATAAATATCTTTTTTTCCTTATAAATAAACACATTTGTATCCCATTTTAAATAAGATTACAAATTACCAAAACTTAGAAATAACAGTTCAAAAGTTCAACAAAAATCCTACACCCGTTTTAAAAAAGAAACATATAACCACGCACTATGTCATTCCAGCAAGCGAATACGACACAGCATAGGTTTCCGGACTAAACGACTGGTGTATTTACACCACTCAATAGGCGTGTGGGGTTTGCCGAGTGGTTTCCGATGCAGTCGCTTTCTTTCGCATCTATTATAGGTAATTTGTGGTTCAGAAGTAAAGATGTCTCTAACGCGGTATGGAACGGAATTGGAAATGCACCACAAAATCGGGTATAGTTCGTAGTCGCATTATTGGCGTAACTTTTGAGAGCATAAACAGTAATATACATTTGTGTAAAATAGTACCGTATGATCGAAAAAAAGGCGTCAGCGATGGCTGTGAAACGAAGATCGCTGTCATTTTATATTTAAATTTAGAGGCCGTTTTTTTTTCGACCATACGGTATACCGGGTGCGTCTCAAAAGTGGCTCACCCCCTATAACTTTTTTATTTTTTCAGATAAAAACGAGATTTCGTGTGTTAGTTTTGATCACTTACTGTTTCAACGGAAATGACTACAACTTTTGATTTTTAAATGGCTCCCCCGGTATATTTTTACTTGATTCGATAGAAAATGATATTCTGAATAGAATGACGTATCATATGTCAACTTTTGTCATTCTCACTTAATAAAAAATTGTATTTTAAATTTCAATCTAGAGTACCATGGCTGTGTTAAAAACACTAATTTTTAAACAAGGAGCCTTGGAAAAATAGATTTGATCGTCTAATGTTTTTAGTGTCTTGTCCTGGCCGGTTAAAAAATGCCCAAATCGTATTTTTAATCATATCTCAATTTTTTCAAATGGAACGAGGGTGGCTCATTAGCATATTTTGAAAAAGCATTTTTTACGAATAATTTGATACCACACACTTGGTATTTCGAGTCAAATTTTCGTTACGAACCGCAAGTTATAATTTCAAATAAACCATATGCGAAAATGTCAAAAGTTGACATACGACATGTCATTCTATTCGGAGTGTTATTTTCTATCGCATAAAGTAAAAAAATACTGAGGGTGCCATTTAAAAATCAAAAGTTGTAGTCATTTCCGGTGAAACAGGAAGTGACCAAAAACAACTGAATATGTCAATCAATCCTAATTTATGTCATATACTAACACACCAAATCTCGTTTTTTAACTGAAAAAATAAAAAAGTTATATGGGTGAGTCACTTTTGAGACGCACCCGGTATATATAATCTTTATCATTACATTAAAAACATGACTACAAATATAAAACAAACAAAATGTCAACAAAAATAACATTTATTATTAAATAATGTATATTATATTAATTTCTTTAAAATATCAGACACTTAAAGAAAAATAATATTAAACATTGCTATTTCCTGTTAGACTGTATTGTTTAGCTTAAAGCATTAAAGTATTAATGTCCTTTGGCATTTAGTGTATTTTCGATAATATTTTTGTACCATTGTTTCTTCTTTAGTCTCTTCTGATGACCTTACTGATAGCCTTCTTTTTTTGGATAAAGCTCTTGGTTGTACTTTTGCTTTTTTACAGTTTAACGTAGTGAACTGAAATGTTTTGACTGCTGCTCTGTGTCAATATCATGTGAATTTATTATTAATGTACATTGCTCAGCTATCCTTGTTATTAGCCACTTTGTAACCGTTGCGAATTCGCAACGGTCACAAACTGGCTAATTCAATGCAAAAATGCAAGAAATTACTATAAATGTTCACCTAGCTTATACACGTGTGGCAAAATTTCATTAGCAATAGGAGCTTTTCAATACGATAAAAAAAGATGGTAAGGCTGCAAAATACACTGCAGTACAACAGAGACGGATAAAGTGTCTTTTCCCTACCATTGTATAGGGGAAGTGATCATAGAAGTGATACGACGAGAGAGCTTCTGCGTGAGGGGGCGGGTCTTTAAGACGCTTGTGTGGGGGCTACCGGCTACTAATAGAATAGAATCGAAAAAATAGAAAGACGAAGGACAGTGTTGCCATTCTGTTAAATCAAAATTATGTTGGCTTATCCTAAATCCCGAATCTTCTAATCCCATTATCTTGCCTACTTAATGAAATATTAAATAAAGTACAAAACAATTTTAAGAATGTTTTCTCTAGGCACATAACAATTTCTTTCTAAAACAAAAAGTAACATGCAGAAGCAGAACTTTGAAATCATTTCTAAAATAGCAAGTGCAATTCTATGAAATGGCAATACTGTACGATCTTCCTTCCAGTCGGCCCGACACCGACCGGTCAGTCGGCGGCGGCGACAAAGGAATTAGACCGAAAAAACTTTATAAAGGTGTAGCCGAACAGGGTTGCCGGGTTTGTTAGATTATAATTCCATACGAGAACAAAATTCTCGGTAGATCTTCAACAAAAATCAAAAGTACAGAAACAAAATAAAATATAATATTTAAGTCCAAAATTAGTATTCGTATGTGTCGTAATACTAGATCACTCAAATAAAATACAAATATAGTAAATATAACAAGAATTAGAAATAGGTAGGTATATTATATTCAGTGCGAGATTCTGAATCATACGTTCTACTCGCCTGGGGTAGTTTTGTTTTAAGGTTCGACATTTCGTGGTTTAGAGGTTTGGCAATTTCAATGCCACGTTTTTGATTAGAAAATTTTGAGGTTTGGATATGAGAATGGGATGGGACAGTGATTTCCCCAGTATGGTCTTGGGAGATAAGCTAAGGCTCGCGTGGGCAGGGGCACGTCCCTGCGTGACATTAAGGAAGTGGCAGGTGGTTAAATATAACACAAAACAGGGAGACATGGAAAAGGATAGGAGAGACCTATATCCAGGAGTGGATGAATCTGGGTTGAGGAAGAGGTATATTTATTTAATATTAAAAAAAATATATTGAATTAAACAATATTAATATATTAATAAAAACTATAACAAGTAGGGATAGCAGGCACTTTTTACCTTTGTACAAATTTTGATCAGTGATATCTAAAATTAATTTCATTTTAATGGGAAAGCTGTAGCAACTCTCAACTCTTTTTTCACATTAATATATTTTTTTGACAGGAAAAGCACTAAAATTTATTCGTATTCAGTTTGTTTCTTAACTTAGATTTTGTTTTTTGTTTATATTTTTTTGGGGAAAATATGGGTTTAACTTTAGTAGATGAATGAAACAAAATCTTTTCAAAAGATATCAACTTCTTCGGGCATATCGCCAATATCGCGCCTAATAAAGAGTAATAAGGATTTGTAGGAATATCTTTGTCACTCTGCAACTAGACAGAACGATGACCTATGATTACTAAATAAAATTTAATAAACAATAATAAAGTCAGATTAGACTAAAAACGCAGTTGAACATATCGTTAGATTTTTGTTTAAATCGGTAGATCGGTAGCTTACAGACGAAACCGGTAGACCTGGCAACTCTGTGATGGACTGAGGTGATGGCGTTTTGCGGAGGCGCAGGAAGGGAAATAAAATAATGGCGATAAAGGGCAGGTGGATGGGTATCATGGGTGGATGGGAGGCGGCGGAATTTCCAAAATTTGTTATCTTATTGGAGTTTGTCTAACTCGACAGTCGTAGTGGAAGTGGAAACGGGGAAGTTGTCGTCCATCTCTGTTTCAGCTTAGACTTTCTATAGGCGTTTCATTCCAATGCATGTAATTCCTATGCCTAGATATCGTATTACCGGACCAGTATATCACATTTGGCGAATTATGCTATTCCATTCTATACCGCGTTAGATATATCTTCAATGCTGAACTAAGCTTGGCCTAGATACCCTATGCTTTCTACATGGCATATTATGGAAATACGCTACCAGGATACAGATAAGTAATATTTCAGGCGTCTAAATGCAAAACCCGACAAGTCCGTTGAGACAAATTTTACAGAATACACAAAAAATGATTTAAAATATTATGAATATTAAAAAGAAAAGAAATTATTTTTTGAAAATATCATGCATAAAAATCTAATTCAGGTAGTTCTTCTTTCTAGCCTATTAAGTTCGCATTTTAGTCTATTTATCAATACGACCGCCGCCGTGCCAGTCAACCTGTTAGCAATAATAAAAATAATATAATCGTTATAATAATACAAAATATTCCCGTTACACCGTATTAGTATATTTTTAAGATTTCAATAACTTACCAATTAACGGTTCTATTATGGATCCTGTTAAACCGTTAATACTTTCCAAATTTTCGTTAATGATGGTTGCACTACTTTCTGGTAAACTTTCCTTCATATTAATCAACGTTCGGTGTATCTGAGTTTTCAAATAATAGAGAATATTTGCATATTGAACGTTTTTCTGTTGACCTGTATTTGCGGTACCACCTAAAAATAAATAATGCTATCTTATGTATGTAAACTACATACATATACCGATTTGGTCATCGAAACTGTGCCGTATGGATTTTAACCCGAGACAGTGATGTAGACAGCTTAATGAAAAATCAAATGCATTAAAAAGAGATAAAAATTGGGTCGAAACATTTCTTCTATGCGGTATTGCCGGATTTTGCGTCAAAATTTCAAACCGCACAAGTAGACGTTTACGAAAAAATGTTGCATCTAGGGTTTTGCTAACTTTATTTTTCATTACTAGTTACTCATTTTAGTACAGCTGTATTAGATTATATTTAGTTTAGATATATTATCATTTCAGTAGTGTACAGAGTGGTCGAAATTGGTCTGTTTTAACAGAGAAAACCTATTTCCTGACTAGATAGAGCAAAACCGACGTAGATGTCATGGGCTCAATTTGTGAGACATATTTAATGTCATAAACCGCTTGTTGATATTTTCACTGCCAACTGAGATACGGGGTCTTTTTGAATTTTTTACCATTTTGAAAATTGCCCATAATTTTTTTATTTCGCGGAATAATAAAATTCTGTAAAGACGTTCTTAAGGCACTTTTTTAAGCACAATCCAGTGGCGTAGTCAGTTTTGTTCTATACTTGCCCTTTTTGTCAGAAATAATAAAAAATATAATTATTTAAATGGAAATCATAGTTGGCTATGAACTTAAAAAAATGCTGATGTTTAACCTTTTCCAACGATATAAAGTTATGGGTATTTATTTCTAAGAATGAGCGAAATATTAGGGTTTTTTATCTTTGTATCGAAGCGGGCCTTGATTTTATGTTGACCTAGTTATATTTTATCGTAATTTAATATTCTATATCATTATTTATTTGCAAAATTATAGACTTTTGAAAAGAAAAATCAACATTCTCTATTAGTTTTACCAATTACAATTAAAACGCCATTAAATGGAGAATTTAGAGAGAATCGGATTGGAACAAGGGGCCTCATATCTTGGCCTGTTAGGTAAGCTTTTGGACTTTTTACACCAGTTCGCCTAATAAATCGCTGTAACTCTGTGCGCAAAAGATGTTTATTATGTGTTCAACAAGGAGGTGCTCAGTTTGAACATTTTAGATGATTTTTTTTAGAAAACTATATTCCTCACTCATAAAATACGTTTTTTAGTTTTGATCTTTGTTTATTGTATCGATTTCAATTGCAATTACTAAAACTAATATAGAATATTAATTTACCTTTTCAAAAGTCTTTAATTATGCAGATCAATAATAATATAGAATCTTAAATTGCGATAAAAAATAATTAGACAACTAGGTCAACACAAAATCAAGGCACACTTCGATACAAAGATGAAAACCCTAATATTTCTCTCATTCTTAGAAATAGGGATCCATAACTTTATATCGTTCGAAATGGTTAAATGCCAGCATTTTTTAAGTTCATAGCCAACTATGATTTCCATTTAAAAAATTATATTTTTTATTATTTCTGACAAAAAGAGCAAGCATAGGAAAAAACTCACTACGCCACTGGATTGTGCTTAAAAAAGTGCCTTAAGAACGTCTTTACAGAATTTTATTATTCCGCGAAATAAAAAAGATATGGGCAATTTTCAAAATGGTAAAAAATTCAAAAAGACCCCGTATCTCAGTTGGCAGTGAAAATATCAACAGGCAGTTTATGCCATTAAACGTGTCTCAGAAATCGAGCCCATGACATCTATGTCGGTTTTGCTCTATCTAGTCAGGAAATAGGTTTTCTCTGTTAAAACAGACCAATTCCGATCACCCTGTACATGGAAGTTTTTAAAATATACTCTGTTTTTTTTCTCAGGTAAGATTTCGACAGACGATGACAGAAGAAAAGCAGATGACGTCCCATACCAATCTATTTATTTTACTAAAAAAAGTTTCTAATAATTTTTAAGTTAACTATGGATGGGTTTAAATATAAATTCATCATGCGTCGTCACTTGTTATTTTTAACCAGTTTTATTGGTTTATTTCAAAAATGACAGATCGTATTTCAATTTTATTGGTTTGACGGAACGATAAACGACAAACGGACGCCGATGCGTATGAACTCGCCTTTAGATTTTTGACGTTTGTCAAAGTCTTGCCAAATTATAGGTTAATTTTGTGACAACTTTTGACAAATACCCTGCGTTTTGGAAGATGATGCATTTTGATTGGTGTTATTACGTGTTTTGTGTCTTTTGAAGTCAAGTGGAGGAAAAATCGAGTGAAAATTAACTGTAGAATCCAGAGCACAGTTTATGGTTAATACTCGCTGCCCAGGCAGAAAGTCTTATACAGATACACCAATAAAGTTACTATCAATAAAGTTCGTATACCATCTCGTTGTAGATAAGTGCATCTCGAATATGGTAGAAGGACCATACTAAAAACTGGTGTAGCTGTAAAATATCGACATCACACGATAGGTAAATAATGGATTTTAGTACTGCAGAAAAATAATGTCAAAAGGTACTGGTTTAAAAAATTAAGATTAAAGTTAATTAATCAACCTGTGAGGTATAAAATTTGGTAAGTGTTATTATTAATAAAATAGTTTGTTTTATTTATGTTGTTTTATTTATTCCTGCGGAATATTACAAATTTGTATTTGTACATAAGTTATATCGATAAATATAATCATAAATGCGGGAAGTTTCATAAAGTAAGAAATAGTTCTTTTTTATATTTTTTGGTATGTGGTGTCTTCTTTTTGTTTGTTTTGTATTAACACATACCGTTTTTTATTAAATAAAATAAGTAGATTACATTTTTTCAGTTTTATACAGTTTTTTTCACAATATTTTGAAGTTACTTGTCAGTTAAATTTTAAATACATATATTAATTTCCTGCTATGCGTTCCAGTTGTACCAACTTATTTCTTTGTAAAATAAAATAAACTACTTTGAAATTAAAATGACAGACACATCTATCACTGTCAAGGATCTTCTCGTTGGACAAACTATAGCTTATATTTTTCTATACACATTTTCCTACAAACGTAAAAAACCGGCAACACTGCATGCCGTTTTTGATTTTGTCTCTCGGTCTGTCAACCGGTCATTTATATTATTCTTTGTCACACTGATTAAAATCCAGACCACATAAATTGGATGACCAGCAGAGTATGTATATTTTGATTAAGTAAAATTTATCTGTGTTGCATAGCATCTGATGAGAAATCTAGAATTAAATCGATTTATCTGATTTTATTTATACATATATCAATGTAACAAGACTAAACTTCAATTTAGATAGCGACTCATTCACCGTCATCAAAATTTTAATGTACTTCTAGAAGTTCCACAAACTTCAAATTTTAGATTTTTGGTAGCTTTAAGCTTTTAACGAAAGAAAAAAAATGAAAAATCTCGAAATATCCTTGTGGCCATCCCCTTTGTGGTACAGACGCCTTGTGGTCTTAGCTACAGCTATGTCGCCTTGTGGCCATCTCTTCTTGTGGGACAGACACCTTGTGGCCTTAGCTACGAAACGACAACAAAACGCTATGTCGCCTTGTGGCCATCCCCTTTGTGAGACAGACGCCTTGTGGCCTTAACTACTAAACAACAACATAAATATTTAACTTATTTAATTGATTATGGTGATGTGACTAGGTGCGTTTTCCTAGTGATGCTCAAGTTTATTTTATATTTAAAGATTGCGAATCACGGGATAAAAACCTCAAAGAGTGAGAGGCACTATACAGATGTTTTGGCATCCAAGGTGAGTTTAGTTTCTTTTATTTTTGTTATAATTTATAATATTAATAAATCAGGATGAGTCAAAACTAGATATAACATTTTCTCCTCTATGTAAAATTAGACGCTCTGTAATTTTATATCATACGCAGCTTGTATTCAATAAATTTAAACTTACCAATTACTTGAGCCGATTCTGGTCCGCTTTCGATTTTGTTTTCAATTTTAACATTAAACATTTTTATACATTTTCCAATATTTTTTGATACTTGTTCACTTAAATTCTCTTCAATTAGAGCTACACTGAGTTCACTAAAAAATAAGCTGGTCAATTAATGATCCCTATGATCCTTTAATACCAGATATACCACACCAGATACCACCGCCATATTAATTAAGAGTTCTTATAAAGAAAGAAAAACATTTTGATGAATATGTTTTATTTTATTACATAAAATTACACACTTTAACTAAACTATATCAAAATACTTTTATCGCACACCATTTTCTACCCATGTTAGCCTGATCGCTAGGGTTTCCATACAAGTTTTTGAATATTCCAGAGAAGTGAACTCTTTTGAAACGACAAAATCCGGACTTCGTCCAAAAATGAATTATTTATGTAAAGCTTAGATCTTATAAACTTCGTGGATAAGTAAATTCGCTTCATTTTTGTTGAAGACAGTTAGCGACTTTCGAATATCTGATCATCTTTGTCTTTGACACTGACTGACCAATCGTCTATCTTTTTGTGTATATATCATTTTTATTTGTGTACATTTCATAAAATAAAAAATATAATTAATATACCGGGTGCGTCTCAAAAGCGGCTCACCCCCTATAACTTTTTTATTTTTTCAGATAGAAAAATGAGATTTGGTATGTTAGTATTTAATAGCAATGGGAACTATCGAATGAATTAGACTATCGAATGGTTACTGAATGAATGATTTCAACTATCGAATGGTTTTATTCGAATAAAATCATTCATTCATTTGTATACTAGAGCATACGTGACAACCTCGCCGTGCCCCTGAATGGTTATCGTTGAGCCACGACTATCGAATGCTTTTGATAAATGAAATTTAGTATCTAGTATCTCTTTAGTAAGTTTGATTTTTGTGTGCGTCAGTGCATTATTAGTTCTTCCAAATTTTTATAACTTCGCCGTATAAATACTGTGCTATTTTTGCGTTTATTAAAATATTTAAAATACTAAAATAGTAGTTTTTTTTTAATTGACGATTGTGTGCGTGTGCAGGTGGTCAACATTTTTCCGAAAATTTTTGTGATTTTCCGTAGCCCGATCTTTCAATTATTTAATTTTATATGGTTATATGGTCTATTTTTTAATGGAAAATTTTGAGAAGTAGCAATTTTTAAGAGAGATGAAATGAACTTACAATTAATTTTAAAAATAGATGTTTGTATTTTAGATGTTTTAATAATATGAATTAGTTGAACTTACTTAAATATGATTATTAATATTTAAGTAATGTGGTTAAGTAAATGGTTATCGAACTCAAACTATGGGGTGAGAAAATTAAATTGAAAGTTTTACACGTGCCAATTTTAAAAAAGTTAACGATGTTTGTATTTTGTTGATGCTAATTCTCTTACATGTAGTTTTTTGCGAAGAAATATTTCATTTATTTTTTAAAGTAAATGCCAGTAAAAGTAAATAATATTATTTTTAAATAGTAATATAAAGCACCTAATATAAATAATTTTGATTTCTAATTTTTTATTTATATTTTTCTTCCATTACACTGCATGCTTAGAAAATCAATAAATGTTGATATTTCATGATTTTAAAATTTGTTGTTAATATAACAAATTAGTTCTGTAATTATTATTATTTAAAAAACAACCGTTGCCAAAAAATTTAGAGTCTATATTATTTTTAAATAGGATCTAATATAAATAATTTTGACATTTAATTTGTTGTTTATATTTTGCCACTACTTAAAAAAATGTTCATATTAAATGATTTTAAATTTTGTCGTTAGGTATAACAAATTATTACTGTTATTATTATTTATTATACCAGTCTTTGCTTAAAAGCATTAAAAATCATTTTCCTACATCCAAAATAACAAGTATTACTGCAGTGTAACAAACAGAATATTAATAAAAAAATGCAAAATATATAGACATACTATCCCTAACTAACTAAAGCCAGACAATAATATTCTTTGCTAATATCAACTAATACCAATATATGGCAACAGCGCCTTTCATAATGTAGTTTTTGTGTAAATACTAGCACCTCAATAAAAAAAATAATGTGTCCTTATTTTTATCTACTCCGCAAAAAATCAAAGATGCCGCCTTCTTTCATGGCATTGCCACCGACCGCTGTCGGGTTTCTGGGAAACAAACCTACGTCGCCGGGCGACAACTAAAATCCAGTTAATATTTTATTATAATCGATCCTGACGAATAAATGAATTTCATAAATGAATGAATTTTATAAATGAATGGTTTTTGCTGCCGAATTACTAGAATACAATATTTCAAGGCAGATGACGCGTCTATTCGATAATTTTTATTCGAATAGTTTTCAACGAATGTTTTCTTACTAGCTATCGAATTATTCGAATGAATTGCAACTATCGAATGTTTCGATAGTATTCATTCGATAGTTCCCACTACTAGTATTTAACATAAATTAGGATTGATTGACGTATTCAATTGTTTTTGGTCACTTCCTGTTTCACCGGAAATGACTACAACTTTTGATTTTTAAATGGTACTCTCGGTATGTTTTTACTTTATTTGATAGAAAATGTCATTCTGAATAGAATAGCATATCATATGTCAACTTTTGACATTGTCGCTTAAAAACAAATCGAATTTTAAATTTCAATCCAGGGTGTCATGGCGGTGTTAAAAACACTAAGTTTTAATCAAGGAGCCTTTGAAAAATAGTTTTGATCGTTTACTTTTGACATTTTCGCATATGGTTTATTTAAAATTATAACATGCGGTTCGTAACAAAAATTCCGACTCGAAATACCAAGTGTGTGGTATCAAATTATTCGTAAAAAAAATGCTTTTTCCAAATATGCTAATGAGCCACCCTCGTTCCATTTGAAAAAATTGAGTTATGATTAAAAATACGATTTGGGCATCTTTTAACCGGTAAGGACAAGACACTAAAAACATTAAACGATCAAATATATTTTTCCAAGGCCCCTTCATTAAAAAATAGTGTTTTTAACATAGCCATGGCACCTTTGAATAAGAAGACTAAGGAAGGAGCATAATGCTATCCATGTATTCATGCATGGTGGGCGGAAAAGCCAGCATAAAAGCTCTCTAGGGTGGGGATCCTTGACAGTTCTGTTTGACGATTCATTTGACACATTTGAATTTGATTTGAAATTTTGTGGATTTGTCAGTCTTTACGGAGCTTATTTTATGTTACTTATTATTTATTCTACTACTGATAGTTGTATAAAGGTAGTAAATGTAGATGGAAATTGTGGCAGAACTTAAATTAACAGTGACATTATCGCGATTTATCGAAAAAAACTCTAAAATAGTTGGTTGTGTAGCGTGCGGTAGATCTCGGAAAAAATTGAGTGAAATAATGGAACAACTTTTCGCTAGTAAGTGACTATATAATATACATACATGTAGTAAACCGATCATTTATGAAATTCACTTAAATTAACTAAATTATATATTTTCTTGCATTTTAGCTTTTATTCACTACTTGTCAAAGATCAGATGTCAAAGAATTTTGATACGTTAATTTGACTTACCTGCTTCAGTAGCGTATCGGATGTTTGTGTTAATAAATACTTATTTAACTTATCTATTTTAATTAGAATTATATATTTTTATAACAATTTTAATAACTACCAACATTTATTCACAACGTAAAATAAAACAACAAATTATTGAGTCTACCCCACGTCTACCCTACATCATAGTTTTACATTTTTTAAATAAAATTAGAACGACACTGATAAACCGGAATTTAAGTCGGCCATATTTGAGGTCCATCGCGGTGTACCTAAGATTTTTGATATGCTCCTTCCTTAGTCTTCTTATTCAAAGCATGGCACTCTATATTGAAATATAAAATACGATTTTTTCTTAAGTGAGAATGTCAAAAGTTGACATGTGATATGTCATTCTATTCAGAATGTCATTTTCTATCGAATAAAGTAAAAAAAAATACCGAGAATGCCATTTAAAAATCAAAAGTTGTAGTCGTTTCAGGTGAAGGAAGTGACCAAAAACAATTGAATGCGTCAATCAATCCTAATTTAGGTCATATACTACCATACCAAATTTCGTTTTTTTTTCTGAAAAAATAAAAAAGTTATAGGGGTGAGCCAGTTTTGAGACGCACCCGGTATAAATTAGAGAAAATAATATTGTTATTCGGATATTAATTATTTATTGAATAATATTTACTAATATATTAATTGTTTAAAGAACAAAAATCAAATGTAAATTATCTAAAATAATCGCAAAACTATTTCCAATGAACGTGATCAACTCTGAGTGACAAGCGATGGCGACAGCGCTGCCAGATTGTGAAGGATTAATGAGATGAATCTTAATGTAAAATTGGGAAACAATATATTTATTAAAAAAAAATGTTTTGCGATTACTGTAATAATGTTTAAATAAGTGATTAAGTTACCTAACATACATAGATATAGATAGATTTTAAATAACATAAATCTTGTTTTGGAAAATATGGAACATACTTCAGAGGTTTTCATACTTTTAGTGTTGTGGAGTTCTTTTAATGATAAAACTATTATGGCAGCTTCAGATATATCACTAGTCATAATGTTTATTTATCCACTAACTTTATCATACTACAAAAACAAACTTTCAAAAAGAACACAAATCTAAAATATTGTCGGAAATCGAAATGAAATCTTTATTATCACTTGTCAAAGAGTATCACAAAAAGTGACATTAATTACATATTTTTACAAAATTATGTTTTATGTATGTATTATGGTATGTTTTAGGTTAGGTTAGGTTTGTTAAACATATTTTCATGTTTCCCTGGTTACTGATTCTATGTGTTGCCCATTCATCATAGCTATTTTTCAAAGTAGTATTTTAAAATATTTTTAAAGAAGAATTTATCGTTATATGATTTAATTTTTGTTTAAAATTTATAAAAAAAGTATATTCAAATAATATGACAAATATTTTCAAAATAATAAATACACGTATCAGTTATATCTTAATTAATAAATTTGAATGGTCTATATTTTTAGTAATTGTTGTCAATGCAGCGAAAAAATGTCCCAAGATAACATTCACGTCTAATATCGTTCTGCGCATGCTCAGTAGCGTATTCAGAGAGACGGATAGGCTTCTACGATAATCTTGTTCCCGAAAGAAATAATAATAAAAATAAAAAAATGCATATGAAAGTCCCGTATATTACAGTTGAGGGTTGGAACCTTTGGTGTTACACAGCAAAATAAAAACACTAAATCACCACAATACACCAAAACACTTTTATTTTACACTGGACGCGCGTTTCGCTAACCATGTTAGCATCTAATAATTTTTAGATGTATTAGTTATTAGAAATACTAATAATTGCCTGGAATTTGATATCTATAGGAAAAATACGACCACACGCAGACTGTCAATAGAAGAACGTCAATTATAAACTTGTGTATAGTACGAATAATAAATTACAACAATTATTAGGTAATCCAAAAGATAAAACACCTCCACTAGAAAGGTCGGGTATTTATGAAATTTCTTGTAAAGATTGTAACCAGAAATATGTTGGGCAAACTAGAAGATCAATATTAACTAGATTTAGTGTTTTTATTTTGCAAAGTCCCGTAAACAAAGTCGTGTGTAATATACATATGGCATAGCTTTATCCACGAAGTTTATAAGATCTAAGATCTAAAGTTTGTCTAATGATAATATACCTGACAATGAGAGTTGTTGTTTGTCATTTTAATTGACAGATAAATTGTACCGTATGATCGAAAAAAACGGCGTCCAGTTGGCTTGGAAATGACGATCGATGACATTTCCCATATTACATATAATAAATTTTAAATTACATATAAAATAACAGCGATCTTCATTTTATAACCATCGCTGACGCCGTTTTTTTATCATATTGTATTTTCTACCATTGTTTGAATGACATCTGATGATATTCTTTTCCCAATCTGACTCCCAATACAATAAGATGTACAAGATAAAGAAAGAAAAGCAAGTATTTTTCAAAGCGTATGAAACTTCGCTTGCAGGTAGAATATACAGGGTGAGTTTCCTACGATGTTCTCTATGGGTATCTCGGAAACTACTGGAGATAGAGAGTCAGTTAAATGGGGAAAGAATTGCAGTTTTGTGGGGTCATAAATATGCGCTTTTCAGATTTTCGAAAAAGTTCATGGCTTACTAGATATTTCGAAAAAAACAAATTTTGGCTATTTTAAAAATTGTTCCTAATTCCATTATAATCTATTTTAGACAAAAAGTTTTCAGATAAAAGTTGTAGATAATCACATCTCTAATGAGACTGTGTTCTCCGATTTTTTCTAAAGCCTGTCATTTTTGACGTATGACACAAACATATGTTTTTTTAAATGGAAACCATAGTTGGCCATGACTTCATAAAAAGCGCCGTTTTTTAAGCTTTTCAGCAATATAAACTATAATATGTTTCTTTCACAAAATTACTGAGTTATAGCCAATTCTTATCTTTCTTGACTAATTTCACTTAGTTAGCCATGGAAACAAGTTCAATCGTCGTTGCTCTCAGAAATGTGAAATTGTCACATCCAATCTTTGTAAATTAACATAAACAAAAATTGCAAATAAGAGTTTTTTAAATGAAGAACAGCGTGTAGAATTATTGGTTCAACTTTTCTTGGTCATACAGTTTCGAGGATATGTTGACCTGTGAACGTTACGTTTTTTAGAAAACGGTTTTCAAGATATGTTAGAAAAGTTAAATTTAGATACTCGCGCATTAATACAGTGGTTCCAACATGACTTTCATTATAACGCACCAACCCCCCCCCACAAGTAAGAAATGTTATTTAAAAAATTATTTATATCATTATTATGTAGACTCAGGGAGGTGGACCAATTGCATGGGTCTCCTCGGTCACCTGACCTATCCATTTTAGATTTTTTTATGCGGTATGGTTAACAAGGTTTAACAAGAGAGGCACTCGAAGAGGCGGAACAGGAGAAGTTTAATTAAGGCGACCGGTCGTTCTGTGACAATAGCTAGAACTTCAGTTTTAAAAAGATGCATTTATGTACTCAAAATAATTGCGGATTTTTTGAACATTTTCCAAAATAATTTAAAGTGTATGTAGTGATATTATTTTTTTGAGTTTTAGTTTGTGTAATCTAAATTGTAAAGAGCCGTTTAATAACATATTTTGTCGTTTTATAAGTTATAAATCACAACAAAATTTGAACACCATTGAAAACCGTTCTCTAAAAAACTTAAGTAACTTTCACCGGTCAACGTATCCTGTATGGCCAAGAAAAGTTGAATCAATAATCCTACACGCTTGTCTTCATTTGAAAAATTTTTATTTACAATTTTTGTTTATTTTAATTTACAAAGATTGGATGTGATACAATTTCACATTTCTGAGAGCAACGACGATTGAACTTGTTTCCATGGCTAACTAAGTGAAATTAGTCAAGAAAGATAAGAATTGGCTATAACTCAGTAATTTTGTGAAAGAAACATATTATAGTTTATATTGCTGAAAAGCTTAAAAAATGGCGCTTTTTATGAAGTCATAGCCAACTATGGTTTCCATTTAAAAAAACATATGTTTGTGTCATATGTCAAAAATGACAACTTTTATAAAAAATCGGAGAACACAAACTCATTAGGAATGTGATTATCTACAACTTTTATCTGAACACTTTTTGTCTAAAATAGATTGTAATGGAATTAGGGACAATTTTTAAAATAGCCAAAATTTGTTTTTTTCGAAATATCTAGTAAGCCATGAACTTTTTCAAAAATCTGAAAGGCGCATATTTATGACCCCACAAAACTGCAATTCTTTTCCCATTTAACCGACTCTCTATCTCCAGTAGTTTCCGAGATGCCCATAGAGAACATCGTAGGAAACTTACCCTGTATATATTAGAAGACACAATACATTTTACATACCTTGACATAATTCTTATCAGTGAATCAATTTCATCATGATTAGGAATATTATTTTCTTCTTTAAACATATCCTCAACTGGTTCTAAAATTTTGGTTAATGAACTAGATAAATATGAATTTTCCAATCTCTTTAAAACAAATCGGCTAAAAAGGAATAATTCATCATTTCGCGTATAGCAAAAATAAACAAATTAGGTACTTACTCAAATTTAAATTGTTTGTAATTTAATTTATTCGCCATATCATAATATTTTTTTAATAATTTTGGATAGTCTGTTTCTAAAATTTGCTGAACAGCAACAGAACTTTGATTTATTTCTTCTTGAATAATTTTACCAAGATCGGTCCAAAACTTATTTGCTAAGTTTTTATCTATGTTGGACAAATGAAGTTCATTTATAGTTATTTGAAAAAACTTCACCTGAAAATCATAATACATAATAAAAAACAATTATGCAGGGTGGTCCGAATTGTATTCTTGAAACTTTTTTTCACAAAATAAGTGAAAAAGTTCTTATACATTTATGTCCTAGGTATGTATTTCGGTTTTGATTTCGATTTTTTTCGAATGGGTGTCTTTTGACATGAGAAATTTGCTTTCAATGTCAATATGACTCTTAAGATACATATTTTTTAATTGGTTTGAAGTGTAATAATTTTTCGTCCGTACCTGTATAAAACTATTGATTGACAAAATATACAGGGTTGTTCACCACATACGACACGGAGTATTGTAGCTAAACGATGAGATTTTTACAAATTGTAAGTTTTGGGTTCGATGAAGGACTATTAGAGGTACAATTTAAAAATATTTTTACAAGATACAGAGTGTCCCAAATAAATAAAAAATATCAAAGTTGTATTTTTTTAAATGGAACACCCTGTATATTATTACATTTTTAGTTTCTACGATTAAAATAAAGGTAAATTTGATTAAGGTTTATGATACTTAAACCTTACCGTTTTTGAAATATTTTCAATTTTGTGAAATTGCAGTAAAAATTTTAAGGCTTCATTTCTTCAAAGGTATCAAAGTTTTTAATGCTAAATAATTACTGAAGTTTATTTATTGATCAGTTATTGTGTTGCAATAATAAAAATAATACTACCTTATACAGAGTGTCTAAAAATTTATTTTAAATAATTATTAGCTTCAAATGGCAATAACTTGTTTAATTTAAATGGAACGCCCTGTATATTTTACGAGAATCAGATGCACAATTTAATTGTCTATCAAATAATATTATACCATTTTTTACCTATCTCTTTAAGTTTCCGTAGAAAATGCATTTTCTTGTAATTTAGAACTTATTTATCAATATACCCATGGACTATTGACATTTTAGATTATTTTTAAAGATGTACCAAATTTTTAAAGAGTACAGATACTAATATTGTCGATATAATTCGTTTATTTCTTTAAAAAATAAAAAAAAACTGTTTAAATATTTGTTAAAGAGGATCAGTTAATATGATTCCAGTATTCAAACAACATTAACTGACTGTTTGCTTTGATTAATAATAATTGCTCCAAATACTAAAAAACTGAATTTTGTATGGGCATTAGACAGTGTGATAAAAAGTAACACCTTAAAAATGATATTTCATTTTTTAATAAATGCTTATTTATAACTACAGAGACTTTAATTTGATAACTTATTATTATATTGATTTCTGACTCAAATCCACATTTATTTATAATAATTTAATAACGAACACAATTAAGTATGTAATTAATTAGTATATGGGCGCAAATAATGGTGTTATATTTAATTAATGGTATACTCTTTTATAAAGATTTAAATAGTTTTCTTTTTGCATACAAATGGGCTAGTAATATTATCGCTTTACTAAAAACGATAATATTACTAGTCTGTACATTTTGTACATTTGTTGCTTTAAAAACATCTAAAATGTCAGTATTCCATGGGTATATTGATAAATGATGTCTAAATTATAAGAAAATGCATTTTCTACGAAAACTTGAAGGGATAGGTAAAAAATATAGGTATAATACAACTTGATAGACAATTTGATTGTGCATCTGATTCTCGTAAAATATACAGGGCATTCCATTTAAATTAAAGAAGTTATTGCCGTTTGAAGCTAATAATTATTTAAGATAAATTTTTAGGCACTCTGTATAAAGTAGTATTATTTTTATTATTGCAACACAATAACTGATTAATAAATAAACTTCATTAAATATTTAGTATTAAAAACATTGATACCCTTGGAGAAATGAAGCTTTAAAATTTTTACTGCAATTTCACAAAATTGAAAATATTTCAAAAACGGTAAGGTTTAAGTATAATAAACCTTAATCAAATTTACCTTTATTTTAATCGTAGAAACTAAAAATGTAATAATATACAGGGTGTTGCATTTAAAAAAATACAACTTTGATATTTTTTATTTATTTGGGACACTCTCACCCGTATTCATAGTCATTCGCCGGCGAGGCGTTGAAAAATCTCCCAGTCGCACCGCCAGCGAACTTTCGGCGAAGCGAACGATATCAATTTTGAATGCATAGACGATATCCTCGCCGTCGCCGCGCTGGCAACTCGCTATGACTCGTGTGGCGATTTGAGCAAGCGCATTTAATTTGTTTATGTGTTTTCCGTCCACGGCACGCGACGATTTTTTAAACCAGAGCGCGGTACTGATCCCAAAACGTTTTTCTTGTTATTATTGTTTGTTGTCTTTTTGCAATGGCGGTAAAATATTCGGCAAGTGATAAGGAACAATTTATTAAAATGTTGATAAACTATCCTATTATAGAAGATAAAAGGACTGATTCCTATAATATTGAGAAGAAGAAAAAAGCATGGGATAAAATTACGTTAGAGTATAATGAGGTAGCTACAGAAAAGGTAAATATAAAATTTATGTTGTGTAGCTATAATATTCTTTGATATAGGATTTATTATTATGGTTTGAGATAATTATGCATTAAAGTAGATTATATATCTTTTAAACAGGAAATAGAAAGAAATATTTTTAGTAGCTACATTTAAAAAATTCTGTTTATTTTAGAGAACAGTAATCCAGTTAAAAAGATTATGGGATAAAATAAAAAGAAGCAGGAAAAGTGCGTTAGCTGAAGAGAGGCGTGAAGTGATGGCCACAGGAGGCGGGCCGTCTAAACCACTACCACCTTATTCACAACCCGAAGTAGATGCCCTGATACCTCATCTCGATTATGAAGTTAATATTGAAGATGATTCTGATGGCATAAATTTAAAAAATACAGAAGGTAAACTTTCTATACTTTGTTAATCATCAAAACAATTGCTATTTTTATTTGTTTCAGTTGTACGGTCATCAGAAGAGGCAACTGCTTCAACGGTATCAGTCACCTCTTACGTCTTAGTGCCAGAAACCCCAACATTATCCACTCCATTAAACCCAAGTGCTGTTAAAGGTAATATTCTACGATTATAGGACCTAGCAAATATTTTTAAATTAATTATTGTCACAGTCTCGCGCCCCCCTAAAAAAAAGGAAGATCATCTTGATCAGTTGACCAAGGCAAGGTTAGGCCTAGTTGAAAAGGAAGAATCATATATGAAAGAACTTCATGATATCCGTATGGAGGAGGCGAAATATAAGGCGGCGGCTGCCAAGTTCGTAATGTTACAAGAAGAGGCAAAATGGAAGAAAAGTAGAGATGAATAAATAAACGATTAATTTAATAATTAATAAATGATTAACAAGTAATAGTTTTATTTTCAATAGTATGTACCTAATAGTAGATATAGATTTTTAATCAAAATAATTATGAACTATATGGTTTCTCATCACATTACCTAAACCTAAATTTCCTTCACGAAAAATAATTTCTGGAACATCATCGTCGATCTGTAGAGGTTCGTCTATGATGTCACGGTAAGTAATGGAAATATTATGAAGAATAGCACAAGCTACGATAATATAACAGGAAGTGGAGATCTTGGTAGCAAGTCCCCGACTCAAACAAGGAAATCGGCGCTTTAAAACACCAAATAATCGTTCTACGGTATTTCTTGTCTGAATATGTGCTTGGTTGTATCGCCTTTCTCCTGGAGTACGTACTTGTCTAAATGGAGTCAGCAAGTAAGGTAAACATGGATATCCCGCATCACCAAGCAAATATCCAGGAAGTTCTCTTCGTTGAAACTTTCCCTTTAAGGAACTCCTTTGAAAAATGTAACTGTCATGGTAACTTCCTGGATATCGTGAAACAATATCTAATATTTGTAAATTAGGACCTGAAGTTGCTTGTACGTTAATAGAAAAGTATCGTTTTCTATTTCGGAACAGTTCGGCAACATCTCCTCCTGGACTCTTGATAGTGATATGTGTGCAATCGACACACCCTGTGACATTTGGAAAGTTAGCAATTGTACTAAATTGCCGTTGCATTTCCGGAATATCCTCATTAAGTGGAAATGTGATATATGTTCTAGAGTGTGCTGCAAGTCTTCTGGTGATTCTTGTCACAACTCGGCTTACAGTACTTTGGCTGAGTCCTTTCAAGTCTCCACAGACAATCTACAAACATATAATTATATTATTATAAAAGTGTGGCTTTTTTATTTTGTTAATTTTCACCTGAAAACTTCCGCTAGCGTAAAAACGCAACGTTAAAAGTAATCCTATCAATGTGGGTACCGGCAATCCTCTGTTAGTCATGGGTTCACGGACATGTACCATTGGTAATAGAATATCACGCACCACCTCTTTCCTAAATCTAAATCGTTTTTTAAATTGGATTTCACTGTAAAATTCAAAAGGGTTTTCCATATCTCGAATATACCTAAAATAATCAACGAAATAAATAATATCAAATTCAAAGGTTTTCTGCAACCAATTTACCTCCGATGTATATGAAAATCTATGTCCAAAATATCCCTGTGGGCATTATATAATAGATCTAAATCACGTTCCATTGTTAAATCGAATTATTATGAAAAATAAACAAAATTTAAATTATTTACTAATCTGGCGGTCGCTCGGAGATAGTACTGACCATCTCCAACGAATCGCTAACGCCGCGCCAAAATTTCAGTGAATGCGCATGTGTGTCATTGTTGGCGAACGACTCTGCATGACAAATATGCGTGGGAGATTGGCGAACCGCTGGCGGCGCGCCAGCGATCGTTTATGAATACCAGTGTCTGTATCTTGTAAAAATATTTTTAAATTGTAGCTCTAATAGTCCTTCAACGAACCCCAAACTTACAATTTGTAAAAATCTCATCGTTTAGCTACAATACTCCGTGTCGTATGTGGTGAACAACCCTGTAGATACGTTTCCTACGGTTTTTACGTAAAAAGCCCCCTTAATAAAAATCGCTACGTGTAACCGTTTTCAAGATATTTGGAATGTATCTTATGAATATACAGGGTATCATTGAAATGGTGTAAGAAAAATCGGAGGGTTACTCCTAAAAATAGTAAAAAAAGTTCCTATAAGTATAGGGCGGAAAATGCATATTAAGGGAATTAGGGTCAGTGAAAGGGTGAATTTAAAAAACGGTTGTTTTGAAATCGTAGGCTTAAAAAACGAGATAAAACTTCGAAAAAAAAATCCTCTGCAATAAAATCAAATGGTGATACTGAAAAATTATTTGGAAAAGCGGAAAGGGTAGTTTTGGCAAGGGTAGGGGGTTGTTTCGTGAATAACTTTTTTGAGGTTATCTTTTTTGTAACGTTGGTTCATTTTTTGAGAACTACATACTTTTTCCTACAAAAAAGGTACTTTTATTGCACATCGCCCAGAGCGATGATTTTCGAGAAAATTGAAGACAAAAAGTTTGCTCTGATGGGTTGCTAACTGGTTAATCAACATAAACTTATGCAAGTTATGGCGGTTCAAAAGTAACCAAGTAGTTATCAAATAATTAATTGAAAAATCAAAATTTCATGATTTTTAAAACATCTTATTGGTTAAAAAAAAACGAAATAATCCAATTACCAAAATTCCTTATTAAAATAATGCATTCCTTAATTCATTCATAGTAAATGTTCAAAGTGGCCACCATTCATTTCAACGTAGAAATCTGATCTTCTTCTCCACGATCTGCGTAGGTACCCTGTGGAATATCCTTAGTGTCGTCCAAATTTGATTGGAACAGTCAATAATGCGTTGCCGTAGTTGCTCTTCAGTATTAATCGGCACTGAGTAAACCAAATTTTTTTAAAACCAAAAAAGTTTATTTCGTTTTTAAAGCAATAAGATGTTTTTTAAAAATCATGAAATTTTGATTTTCCAATTAATTATTTAATAACTACTGCTTGGTTACTTTTGAACCGCCATAACTTTCATAAGTTTATGTTGATTTGGAATCAGTTAGCAAAACCCATCAGAGCAATCTCTTTGCTTTCAATTTTCTCGAAAACCATCGCACTGGGCGATGTGCAACAAGAGTACCTTTTTTGTAGGAAAAAGTATGTAGTTTTCATAAAATGAACCCACGTTGCAAAAAACATAATCTCAAAAAAGTTATTCACGAAACAACCCCCCACCCTTGCAAAAACTACCCTTTCCGCTTTTCCAAATAATTTTTCAGTATCACCATTTGATTTAGGGTCAAAATTTGCCAGAGGAGTTTTATATCGTTTTTTAAGCCTACAATTTCAAAACAACCGTTTTTTAAATTCACCCTTTCAGTGCCCTTAACTCCCTTAATATGCATTTTCCGCCCGATACTTATAGGAACTTTTTTTTACTATTTTTAGGAGTACTATCACCCCCCGATTTTTTTACACCATTTCAATGACACCCTGTATGTCATAATTGACAAAAAATAAACATGTTGACTAGACAGTTATTTGACTGAAATGGTGACTTTGGATACTTTTTATTTTATTTTTTAAATTAATAATAACTTTTTGTAGAAAAGAATATGAAGAAGCAGTTTCTGTAGAACCTTTGGCCACAAAACATTTCAAATTTATAATTTCAGTCTACTTATAACTATCTCGTTAATATGTTCAGTTTTTGTCAATGATGACAAGTATTGATTATTTCGATTCAGAATACAGTGCAATCGCGATAGTATGAACACGCAGTCATATGAACCACTCCGTAATATGAACACAATCATTTTTTCATTGACTACTCTATAGTATGAACAGCCTGAAATCTCGGTAATATGAACAACTTGTTAGACTTATTTTGTGTCTGTTAGAGGTTCGAATTCATTGTTATTTATGTAACAGAGGTGAACGCAGCTAGTTTGCTAAACAGAGTCTATAAAGTGTTTAATAACTCTTTAACTGTAATAATTTAAAATGGTTAAAGTGAAAGGCAAATCAAAATGTCTCTCTCTTCATGAGAAAGCGAAACTTTTAGAAGATGTTGATAAAGGGTTAGGCGTGACGCTTTTGGCAAAAAAGTACGGTATTGCCAAATCAACAGTGTGTTTAATTAAAAACAAAAAAAGAAGAATTGTCGAAAGAGTTGCAAGTTGTGCGTCTAAATTAACAAAAAATGCACATTAAAAAAAGGAGAACTTCCGGAAATGGAAAAACTGCTTTATAAATGGTTCCTTGCACAACGCGAGAGAAATATGCCAGTTTCTGGAGAGATGATAAGGCAAAAAGCTTTGAGTTTAAGTTCCAGTTTAAAAGTTAGCAGCTTTAAAGGAAGTGATGGGTGATTGCAACGGTTTAAAGAAAGGTATGGGGTAAAATTTTTAAAAATAACCGGAGAAAAACTGTCAAGTCAGCCAGAACTTATTAATCAATTTAAAGAAAAACTAAAAATGGTGATTGAAAAATATGAATTAAATGAGCACCAGTTGTACAATGCTGATGAAACTGGGTTGTATTGGCAATTGTTACCTGATAAAACATATGTATTACTAACCGAAAAAACTGCACCTGGACTCAAAATGGCTAAACGAAGAGTTACATTTTTGGGATGCGCCAATGCCTCAGGGTCGCATAAAATAAAACCATTACTTATCGGAACTGCAAAAAATCCGAGATGTTTCAAAAACTTTCTTAATCCCTTGGTGTACCGGCACACTAAGAACGCCTGGATGACTGGTAAACTTTTTAAAAACTGCTTTTTTTCAGCAATTTGTTCCAGAGGTAAGCATAAAAAATATTCTCCTCTAATTTCTAACTTTATTGTACTAACGGTTTTTTGGATAACGCTCCGTCTCATCCACCTGCAGCAGATTTAAAATCTAGTGATGGTATGATCTTTGTAATGTTCATGCCTCCGAACGTTACACCACCTATTCAGCCAATGGATCAGAATGTGCTTAGGCTTACCAAGCTTTTCTATAGGAACAGTCTTCTTAGTTCCATTATTACTGGAAATGACACTGTAGGTGAAGCCCTTAAGAAAACTAAATTAAGGGATGCAGTGATCCATTTAATGGCCGCATGGGAAAAACTAAACCCAGACATGATCTCAAAATGTTGGCGAAACATTCTTGACTTTACGGATGCATTAGATGAGGACGACTTGCCTCTATCACGCATAAGACAACAGCTAATTGAAGAACGAGCTGCCGACCCAATAAGAGACACAATAGCACTTTTAGGCGCTATAGGGCCTGTAAGTTTTGCATTTGTACATTTTTGTTTAAAAATCGGTTTTATCTAAAGTAAGCGCTAGGTCATTAACTATAGTATAATAATTTAACTATAGTATAATAATTTAACTATAGTATAATAATTAATACATATTATGTAGTAACTTTTAAACGTTTTAACAGGCGGAATACACGGCTGTAGACATTGAAGAATGGAACAAGGATTCAGTGATAGAAGGAGCGAGCCTGGAAGAAGCTGAAAATATGGATTCAAATGAGAGTGGCATTGAAATCGAGGAACAGCCAATAATTACAATTAAACATAGCGAAGCAGTCCAGGCCCTTACAGTATCAGTAGAATGGGCTAAACAAAACGCAATAAATTTATCGGATATTACAACTCTAAAAAACATTCTTGAAAAAGCAGTTTTAGCTAACATTTCGGCCAAACAAACTCAGTCAAAAATAACTTCATATTTTAGAACTAATAATTAGTTTCATGTAATGTACATAGATATTAAGCACTTGATTTTGATGTACGATTAAACGATTTTTAAAATATTAATCCGTATTTTATTATGTATTTTTACTACCTTCAATAATATGAACATACCGTTAGTATGAACAACCTAAAATTTTTTGTGTTCATATTATCGCGATTGAACTGTATATTGAGAACCATACTATATTAAAAACGACGAAATAGTATATTATTCAACAAGCATATAATGGTGGCTGTTATTCACGCGGATGAAGTTTATGACACGAGCCAAAGGCGTGCATTATATGCGAGTAGAATACTATACTTTATCCAAGACTATCAAAAAAATTTAGATAATATTAATATTAAGTTTTTATTTTTAAAAACCAACTTTTGAAATCCATAGATGAATGCAAAAAATAACATTGAAAACTTGAAATTTTTAAATCGAATTTTAGAATGCAAAAAGTGACATTTAAAACTTCAAATTTTTAAATCGAATTTTAGAGTAGAAAATGAGGGAATTTTAACATTGTTTCTTCGTAATGGTGTTTAATAATTTGTTTACATGTCGAGATATAACATGAGAGACTTATTAAAACGGAAAAAATATATTTTAAAAATCTTATGACAAGAAAAACAACTTTTGGAATACCCCAAGATGAATGCAAAAAGTGACATTAAAAACTTCAAAAAGCTTGGATCGAGATATCTGTGGAAGCGGTGAATACTGAAATCATTATTCACTAGTGAATAATGAATATTATTATTATTTCATAAACTCATGTATAATCATCAAATTATAGACGAGTCGTGGATAAATGTGTATTTTTTCACTCAGTAGTTTTATACAGGTATGGAAAAAGTTATTACTCTTCAAACCAGTTAAAAAATGGTTAAAAAATATGTAGGTGGCGCCCCCTACAAGTAGGAGTCATATTGAAATCGAAATTAATTTCGCCCTGCCAATTAAACTCTCAGACACCAATTTTCATCGAAATATCGACTTTAATTGAGAAATTTTTTGTAAAAAATCGAAAAAAAATGTAATTTCTACACTATCTGCAGAATATGCTGTCAAAGTTTCCCGAATACAATTCAGACCAACCAGTATATTATTTATATCAGAGATTATTCTATTAAGCTTCATTCAGAACCTCGCAATTAGTGGTTTCAATTACACTTTATACTTTTTAGTTTTAATCATTCACAATGATTAAAAAACACAATTAAAATTAAATAAATTAAATTAATAGAATATCCTAGCAACAGCTTGCGTTAGTCAGTTGTATCCATAGAGAAAGCCCAATATTCAGCCAGTGCCTTCTATTAAAAGATCAGCCTACGGGCGAGATTTATGACGTCACGCTAGTTAGATATAACGGATTAATAAATATGTTGTAGAATACATGGAAAACATAATTATTCCTCAGATTTTTGATTTGTATTTTAAAAATGATATAGTTTACATGAAATATACATAATATACAGTTAATAACTACAACATATATACCCATGGTACAAAGAATACAAGGTATGATCGATAGCGGCTCCAATTTCGTTCAGTTCGCGCATACCACCTGTGACGTCACTAGGAAAATGAGGACTAAATTAAAAATAAAGAAAGTTGACAGGAGATCTGCATTTTGGGGCCATGGGTAAGAGTTGTTTATTTTAAGACTTTTTAGTCTGTTTCAATTTAATAATTACTAAAACCAGAAGTTCCAAAAATATTTAAAAATAATAATTATCTATTAACATGGATTTGGACTTTGACCATAATACGTAAGAGAATACTCAAATTTATTTCTATATTCGGTACCTATAAAATTGTTTATTAGGTTTTAGTTTGCGATGCTTATGGTAAATAATTTCATGTTCATTGCCTCTGATTTCACATGAGGACAGAGATGAGGATATATATGAAAAGTAACCACAAGAGGAATTGTTACATCATTTAAAAATGTTGGGAATTTTATTGTTTCCCATCGAAAAGTAGAAAATGCCAATGCAGATGAATGTATTGTAATTGTGATAGAAGTAATTCCAAGGGTGAAGTTTATTATAATTAGTGGAAGTAACTTCAAGGGTGAAGTTTATTATAATTAGTTACCTGGCGCTTCTTTATATGTAGATGTTTTGTGTCTTTGAGAATAAATCGGTTGAACGAACTCCAAAATTTAGAGGAAGCATTTGCATACCCAGAATATGCCCATCAAGGATTATATAGCCTCAAATTTCCTTTTAATGGTAGGCAATTATTCAATGCAAATTAACTTTTATGACTGAAATATTAAATAGTTTACAATATGGTATATCATTAAAAATACATTACTTTAGGTACAATTAGGCCCGATACATTTCAAAAAGTAGAATATTATTTTATATTAAATGAGGTATTGTACCAACAATCAATTTATATTAATACCGGAGATTAAAAATAATGGTGAATAAATAGTTCTTTTTATACTACAAAAAATAAACTATAGAATACAACAATATTTAAAAAAAATAAATAAAAGTTATGTCCCGGTCGAGATTCGAACCCGGTCTCGCTTCCAGCTCCGACTCCTTACGCACTGCTCCACAGTAACGTATGAAGGATAATTCAATGACGGTATATAAACAAAAAAACCGGTTTATAACAATATCTTGACGATTTGAACTGGCGCGCGGAGCGTACTGACCAATAGCACCTGTTATCACCTGTGACGTAACGACCAACCTGCGCAATATCATACCTTGTATTCTTTGTACCATGATATATACCTATTTATAGTATAGTAATAAATACTTTGGCAAATAAACTATGAACCATACAAATGCAGCAAATGTTTTACAATGTACAAATAATGTATAGCTACATAAGATAATGGGTAAAATGTAAATATATTTTAAATTTTGGGGTTTGAAAATCGATCTAATTTAACAAAAAACATTCAATATCTACTAATAGTGATGTATTATTATTTGCATTCACAAAATTTATATGTATATTTTGGTAAGCATCAATGTTCGAAAATTATATTTACAAATACAATATTATCTAAAAAAGGCCAGCGGTGGCAATGAAATGAAGATCGCTGGCATTTTATAGTAAATTATTTTAAAATTTTGATTTTCTTGGATGTGAAATTGAAAAATGTTGATTTGCTCTCATTTGTTTTTCATTATTTTTATTTGTTTGTGAACGTTTCGGTTATCTGAGTTTATCAGTGTTGTGTCATATGAGAAATAGTGTCGATTATAATCCAAAAAATTACATATACAATATAATTCACACCTCATAATGCGTTTACTGCTATTATAAAACTAATATAAACTTATCAAAAGATGACCACATATTTTTAAAATTATTATTCTTAACACTAAAAATTATCTACATTGACTATGGAGTACGCAGTAAACATTATGTGTGTGGTATGAATATTTTATATGTAATTTTGGATTATATTCGACACTATTTTTTTCATATGACACAACACTGATGAAGGCTATAATGTTAGCCAACGCTTTTTATTAAAACCAACAAAAATAATGAAAACCAAATGAAAACTTAATCAGCGTTTTTCTCCCGAACTTAAATCCCAAGAAAATCAAAAAATTTAGAATATTTAGAAACAAGGTAAAGAATATCAAATTTTCCAAGATTGTAAAATCTCTAGTTAATTATTTTATGTACAGTTATTTAGGGAATGTCATCGATGTTCATTTCCAAGCCAACTAGACGCCGATTTTATTGATGATAATGGTATATCTTTTACGAAATGTAAATAACATTAGACCAATTAAACAAAAGAAATATGAATTTTAGTATTTTAGTAACATCTTTATTCTTACAACTTAATTTTGTATTATGCATATATACCAATTTTATTGTTATTTATTCATTGTATTCAGCCATCACTTAAATATTTGATATTAATTTGGTATTATAAATAATCAACACTATTCATTAAAAATTACCTAACAAAAATATATGTTATGCTTCTTGGACAACTTGACTTACATTATATATTATCAAAACAAAAACATTCTTCTTTAAACTGTATCAGTCTTGTTCTTTACAAAAATCTTTTTAAAATTTGAACTCAAAATAATAATCTTTTTCATGATCTTTAATACACATATTCTTTATTTTTCCATACAGATCATAATACCTACTTCACGCGGTTTGAATCTATCAAGCTGAACCAACAACACTTGGAGTGAGGATTTCATTAACATGAATAAAAATAAAACATAATTGTCCAGTTTCTATTAATACCATCATGGGAGAATATTATTTTTAAATTTATTAAAGATATTTTCAATAAAATTCTCTTGATTTATAACCTGCACTCCACTTTTCTTGCTCCTTTCTGACACTTTGTGGCTGCCTAGTATAACTATCCTTTTCCACCGTGAACACAACAAAGATGAGGCATATCACCAAAACATTAATTCACTTAAGCTTTATTGATGAATTGTTAGGAGTCTTAAAAACACACACAAAATCACGACGAGTAAAATGTATGGGCACTTTAGGGGTTAAATCACTTACACAACGTAATTTTTCAATTTTCTATTTTTATGCGAAACCGAGAGTGACCCATATATCTGGCAGTAGCTTGCGTCACTTAAACACCAAAATAATTAGTTTTTTGCACTACACTAATAAATAATACCAAAAATCATAGAGTTAAAACCAAAAATCAACCGACAAAATATGAAACGGAATCTAACCCAATATCTAAGTATGTACAGCTGATGAAGTAAACAAAAGTCCGCCCCCAGGCTGATCTTTTAAAGAACGGCAGTGATTCAGCTTATAAAACAATCAACTTTTGAATTCTAACCACAATTTCTCTTGACGGAAAATAATCAAAGGCCAAAATGACATTTCTCGCAAATTTTGAAATATAATTAGTTGAAAAGTTAAAAGTTTGTTAACTTTTAACTCTACCACTAATTTTGACGTTCTGAATATTTACGTTGAAATTAAAAGAACAAATTTCTACGCTAATTGAAACCACTACACTAACTGCGAGGTCTGTTTAATCACTATTCTATCAATAACCTGTTTACAAATCTGATAGATATCTCCTGAAAAACATTTCTCCAATTCATTCCAAAGTTTGTTCGAAAATCCTTGACTGGAATTAAATTGCATTCTACCACTGCCACCTTTTGATTTATTTATACTAGTAGATATATTGACGTCCAAGGCGGATTTTATAATATCACGACATTCATCAATATTCTGTTTAATAAAATTATTCACTGTATCATTTATGACTCCTAGATTGATAAAAATCTACAAAGATAAAAATATATTATTTTTATATGAACTAAATAGATATTATTGTTCTAGTATCAAGCATGTTCTTTTTGCGTATTTAACAATTAAAAATGTTTATTATAAACTATCGGTAGCGGCTATTCGGTAGCGACTATCGGTAGCGGCGTAATCTCGATGTGGGCACGAAATCGTCGACACTGGTGCATTCATTTTTAAGTCTATCATTTTCTGTTATGGTGTAGAAAATGTCGGATACGGTCACTATTAGAGCGTTGATTGAAAGAATTGGGAAGAAACCTTTGAATAAGAAGACTAAGGAAGGAGCATATCAAAATCTTAGGTGCACCGCAATGGGCCTCAAATATGGCCGACTTAAATTCCGGTTTATCAGTGCCGTTCTAATTTTATTTAAAAAATGTAAAACTATGATGTAGGGTAGACGTGGGGTAGACTCAATAATTTGTTATTTTATTTTACGTTGTGAATAAATGTTAGAAGTTACAAAATTTTTATAAAAATATATAATCTAATAAAAATAGATAAGTTATAATAAGCATTTATTAACACAAACATCCGATACGCTACTGAAGCAGGTAAGTCAAATTAACGTATCAAAAAATTCTTTGACATCTGATCTTTCACAAGTAATAAATAAAAGCTAAAATGCAAGAAAATATATAATTTGAAGTTAATTCTAAGTGAATTTCATAAATGATCGGTTTTACTAATGCATGTATATTATATAGTCACTTACTAGCGAAAAAGTTGTTCCATTATTTCACCTACCCTTTGCCGAGATCTAATGCACGCTACACAACCAACAATTTGAGTCTTGTTCGATAAATCGCGATAGTGTTAATTTAAGTTCTGCCACAATTTCCATCTAGATTTCATTTCACCTTAAACAACTATCAGTAGGTAGAATAAATAATAAATAACATAAAATAAGCTCCGTAAAGACTGACAAATCCACAAAATTTCAAATCAAATTCAAATGTGTCAAATGAATCGCCAAACAGAACTGTCAAGGATCCCCACCCTAGAGAGCTTTTTCCGCCCACCATGCATGAATACATGGATAGCATTATGCTCCTTCCTTAGTCTTCTTATTCAAAGGAAGAAACCAAACCCAACCAAAGTCAAATTTACAAAGCTGATTTGATTTCCTCTTATGTCTCAAGTGCTATACGGTGGAGCCTCTACACGTTCTGCGGCCAACGCTTAAAGCACATTTTCTCTAGTTAATTAGCGAAGGCATATCGAAGACGGTGTGGAATTGAAAGCGACAGTGTTGCCATATTCAAATGTGTAATATCTGTATTACATTTGACGAAAATATCTTTGGATGAAATATCCGCGTTTATGTATTGCAAATTTATTCGTGTTAACACAGAATAAACAACAAAAATAAAAGTTCTTTTATAAGTACTGAATAGTACTGCATATAGTACGTATGATCGAAAAAACTAGACTAGTTGGCTTGGAAATTACGACTATTGACATTTACCATAATATTTTATATATGAAATAACAGCGATTTTCATTTCCAAGCCAATTCTAACGCCGTCGTTTGTTTAATCATATAATATTATATTAAATTGTTTAATAACAGAAAAACCGTATTATTATCTTACTCTACCCAAAATTCGTAAATCTACGAATTAATCCGTAGTTCTGGCAACACTGTTTCCGGTAACCACCCACTCTGTCGACTGAACGTAGAACTACGTTACAGTATTCTTTATCCGCTGCGCTGTAAACGACTATCAGCGCGCACCGGCGGAGAACTAAACTAAATCTCAGACAGGTTGACTAGCGGCGACGGTATCACCAGCAGCTACATCTCGGATAGGTCTTGTGCTGCGAAATCGCCCATAAGCTTCGGAATGGAGGAATGGGAACGCATCTTATTTCTTCAATCAACGATTTTACTCAAACGATACATATATTGAGCTTTGAGCGCATTGCCATTTATACCATTTATATCATGTTCCCGAAGAAATAATAGAGACAATTTTCGGTGGTGCTACAATGAAAGTTAATCAAATATAATCATAATGAAATATACAAAATATAATAAATATTTTGTATATTTGAACATTGAGCAAAAACGCATCGTTTTTAAATTATTTGAGTAACGACTTTTTGAAATATTTTGATATTTTCTTGGAGGTGTTATCAAATTTTACTGATTTTTCAAAATTTCACCCCACTTTTCCATCTCATAAATTAATCCGTTTGGCTTAGACAATGAAAATGTAGCCCTGAATATTCTGAACAATTTTTATCACGGTGTCGAAGATGTAAGTGCTAAGGGATTGAAATTTACAAATCTAAAACCGTTAATCCCCTATAAATATAAAACGTTACCGAATATTACCATTTTGATATATTCTGTTTTTTTTTCTCGAAAAAATATCTAATATTTTTAAAGTTAACTATGGATGGGTTTAAATATAAATCCGTCATCCGTCAACGTTTGCTGTTTTTAACCAGTTTTATTGGTTTATTTCAAAAATGACAGATCATATTTCAATTTTATTGGTTTGACGGAACGATGAACGACAATAAACGGACGCCGATGCGTATGAACTCGCCTTTAGATTTTTGAGGCTTGTCAAAAGTCTCTTGCCAAATTATAGATTATAATTTTGTGTCAACTTATGTCAAATAGCCTGCGTTTTGGAAATTGATGTATTTTGATTCGTGTTATTACGTGTTTTTTGTCTTGTGGGCAAGTGGAGGAAAAATCGGGGGAAAATTAACTGTAAACCCAGAGCACAGTTTATAGTTAATACTCACTGCCCAGGCAAAAAGTCTTATACACCAATAAAGTTACCATCAATAAATTTGTATACCATCTCGTCGTAGATAAGTGCATCTCGTATATGAGAGGATCGTACTAAACATATATTATACTAAAAACTGGAGTAGCTGTAAAATATCGACATCACACGATAGGACATTACACATAATGGATTTTAGTACTGCAGAAAAATAATGTCAAAAGGTACTGGTTTAAAAAAATTAAGATTAAAGTTAATGAATCAATCTTTAAGGTATAAAATCTGGTAAGTGTTATAATTACTAAAATAATTTGTTTTATTTATGTCATTTAATTTATTCCTGTGGAATGTGGAATATTACAAATTTGTATTTGTACATAAGTTATATTGATGAATATAATAATAAATGCGGGAAGTTTCTTGAAGCTTGGAAGTAAGAAATAGTTCTTTTTTATATTTTTTTGGTATGTGGTGTTTTGTTCTTGCTTGTTTTGTATTAACACATACCGTTTTTTTTGGAAATAAAATAACTCGATTACATTTTTTCAGTTTTATACAGTTTTTTTTCACAATATTTTGAAGTAATCACTTGTCGGTCACATTTTAAATATATTAATTTCCCGCTATGCGTGCCAATTGTACCAACTGATTTCTTTGTAAAATAAAACAAACTACTTTGAAATTAAAATGACAGACACATCTGTCTGGATCTGACACTGTCAAGGATCTTGTCGTTGGACAGACTATATTTTCATTTCAAAAATACGTAGTAGTTTTATGCCTACGGAATATTGGGACACCCTGTATATATGACCAGTTGACAGAAAGACAAAATAAAAAGCGGCATACAGTGTTGCCGAGTCGTACGAGAAATAAAATAATAAATAAGTTATTCAATAATGCTCATTTCTGTTAGATAGTTGTTTAAGAATCTATTACAACTCTAGTAAAATGAGCAACTAATTGTGAAAAAATAAAGTTGCAACCCTAGATGCAACATTTTTCGTAAACACTTACAGTGCTTTCAGATGGAGCGGAGCGTCCGCGACGGACCGTCCGCTACTTCGAGCAAGTATCATGAGTTTATATGAACAATTTCACATGGGCGCGTATGCTCCGTCCGACGGCTATCTTGAAAAAACACGACGGACGGTCCGCTCCATCTGAAAGCGCTGTTAGTTGTACGGTTTGAAATTTTGATGCAAAATCCGGCAATACCGCATAGGAGAAATGTATCAACCTAACTTTTATCTCTTTTTAATACATTTGATTTTTCATTTAAGCTGTCTGCATCACTGACAAAACGTTACACGTTAAAATCCAAACCACGCAGTTTCGATGACCAGATCGGTATACATAGTATACAAGTAAATACCTGATTTCTTACTTATTTAAATATGATTTCTTACTTGTAAGGCTGTAGTAGTTTGTATAAGATTTTCGTTAATTATTCCTTGATTAAGAGAACCTGCTGCCAATTTAATAACTTTTTGCTGTTGTATCCTTATGTTCCGCAGCTCAGTTGTAATTATATCTACATCAGTTAGTTCTGAGTCTCCAGCTAGTTGTTCTAGAAATATTATTTTTTGTATTAAAAAATATGTCAATAATAACACGTATGATCACAATTAACAACGGCGCCGGCGTCAAGTTACTTTGGACGATCAATGACATTTCATATGGAATATTATACGGTAAATGCCCTTGATCATTATTTCCAAGTCAGCTAACGCCGATTTTTTTCGATTGTATGATACTTACTTTGAATAAAAATATTAAGGAAGAAGCATATCAAAAAACTTAGGTTGAGCCCGATGGGGCCCTAATATGCCTGACTTAAATTCCGACTTATCAGTGCCATTCTAATTTTGTTTAAAACATTAATACACACATATTTAAAATACACTCAGATGCAAAAAACGCAACGGAAATTTTTTTCGTCAAATTTAATGTGTAATAGTTTTTTTTTATTTTTAGTTCTATGATTTTTTTAACAAACTGTATACATATAAGTATATTAACTTTAATTCGCAAACTCAGTTTATTATAAACTTTAGTATTTGGCTTATTATACAGTGTTAATCGAAGCGTTATTTTTCTACCATATCTCAAAGCACCCTGTGCAATGATATCGTGAGTAAATTTTCCCGAAACATTATTTTTCGGTCAGAACCATGACTCCTGAGCATTTTGTTTTTTAATCCATGTCAACACATGTCTTGGTTTATTTTTAAGAGCGAAATGAACTTGCCACCAACAAATTTTAATTTTTTCAATTATCATTACATTTTTATGATATTTTTTAATATGACGAGGTGACTTGGGTGACCATTGTCGTAATGTCATATCGATAGTTACATTTGATGTACCTACGATTCGACGAACTGTTACCCTAGATCATAAGGGCTATACCCTAGATCATAAGGGTTAATACACTCACATTCACACCTCAAACCTCGATACCAACGTCTTGTTTGCTCCGTTGTTAAATGGCAAATGCAAAGCATGAATTCTGATATATCGGTCGTCTAGACCGGTAGTTTTGCGCTTTCTGCCACCTTACTTATTCGGCCAATTTGTCTAAAACGTTCCACTACCCTTTTTATCGTAGTTATGATTGTTTCGGATCTTCAACCTCTTTCTCTTGTGAACCCTCATAATAGAAAAATATTAACTAATAAAATTTTACTTAAGGCCGAGCTGAAGGCTTACAACGAGGCAGCTGTCGCTTTAAAAACTGTTTGAAAAAAAAAGAAATAAAATATACAGCAATATTGTTATTGTTCTTGTTGGCAAATTCCGCAAATCATTCACTTTATATCTACATTCCATCACACTAAATTTTGATTATACTCTTTCATCAGAATATGGTCTCCCCAACGTACAACTACAAGCAAAGGTTATAAGAAAAACACGTAAATTGGAAAAAATTAAATGCGAAATAAAGCAAAATCTCCAAAGCCTTTAACCCAAATAAACAACTGTGGTTTTGTCAAATGGAATTTTGAAAGTCGAAAACTGACGTATTATGAATTTTTAAATGTTTAAATCCTGAATTATTACACAGAAAAAACAATATTTTATTATTATATCATTGATTAAAAAACTATAAATCTTAAAATATAAAGTATGGGAAAAAATCTTTATAATTTAAATAAATATTATAATTAATATATCCCATCTAAACAAAACAAAACAAAAATAAGTAATGTATTTCTGTTCAAAATGCCAGGTTACTAATCTGAAACCGACTATTATTGCGAGCGATATGCGAGCAGGCGAGCAAGTGATTAAACGGTTATCCTATGGTTATCCTCTGTCCTCTATATAAAAGGTTTCAGCATATATCGTAAAACGCCTGTATCGTCGCGAGCAGCGAGGACGGTACGCCACACCCGATGTTAAGACGGTCCTACACGATGTGGTGAACACCTTCAAACGTGGGACGCACGGCATTCGCCACATCGTGTTGTTGGAGCGCAGAAATCCATGTGTCGAACGTTCGAAGCAAGTTCGGGCTCTTGTCGGTAAATTTTACGCGAGTCAAAGGACCTTCCAACGTTCGAAGTAATGTTTGCTGCGCCCCACACGGAGTCTCTACGTGGCTGATATTTTAATAGGATCAGTAGCGGCCCCGCTTTAATGCTAAAACGTGGTCTCCTCAGGCTGAAAATTTTCGTGATTTGCTCCTTTGCCAGAAATATATATACATTACATAGGTATACAGGGTTGTTCACCACATACGACACGGAGTATTGTATTGGGAAACGATTAGATTTTTACAACTGTGTTTTGGGTTTGCTAGTCCATTAGAGCTTACAATTTAAAAATTTTTATAAGATACAAAGTGTCCTGCAAATAAGTAAAAAAAATATTATAGTTGTATTTTTTAAATGGAACACCCTGTATGTTATTCTATTTTGATCTCTACGATTGAAATAAAGGTGAATTTTAAGGTTTATCACACTTAAACTTCACCGTTTTTGAAATATTTTCACTCTTATGAAATTGCAGTAAAAATTTTAAGGCTTTATTTCTCCTAGGTATCAAAGTTTTTATTACTAACATTTACTGAAGATTATTTATTGATCAGATATTGTGTTGCGATAATAAAAATTTTACTACCTTATACAGAGTGTCCAAAAATTTATATTAAATACCAATTACTAGCTTTAAACGGCAATAACATGTTTCATTTAAATGAACACCATATATTTTACGTCAATCAGATGCACAATGTAATTGTCTATCAAATTGTATTATACCATTTACCCATCTCTTCAAGTTTTCGTAGAAATTGCATTTTGTTATAATTTAGACTCCCCATTTATCACCATACCCATGGAATTGACATTTCAGATTTTTTATACCACCATAATATGTACAAAATGTAACAGGTGGTAAATATTGCATGCCCATTGGCATACAAAAAACTATTTAAATCTTGTAAAAGAGCATACCAATTAAATATACCACCATTATTTCTACCAAAACACCAAAAATTAGTTAATTACATACTTTAAAATTGTTTTAATTAATAAATTATTCTAAATAAATGTGGATTTGTCAGAAATCAATATAATAATAAGTTATGAAAATGAATGTCTCTTGTTTTTATAAATAAGCATCTGTCAATAAATGAAATAAAATTACATGTGTTACTTTTACTACACTGTGTAATACACACACAAAATTCAGTTTTTAGTATTTGGAACAATTATTAACTACAACGTAAACAGTCAATTAATGTAGTTCTGAATACTGATCATATTAATTGGTCCCTCTTTAACAAAAAAAAAATATTTAAACAGTTTTTTTATTTTTAATTAAATAAGCGAACTATATCAACAATATTATATGTACCCTTGAAAATTTGTTACATCCTTAAAAATAGTTTTAAAATGTCAATATTCCATAGGTATAGTGATAAATGAGGTCTAAACTATAAGAAAATGCATTTAAGTGAAAAACTTGAAGAGATGGGTAAAAATGGAAATAATATAATTCTGATATGACAATTACATTATGTATCTGATTCACGTAAAATATATAGGTGTTCCATTTAAATTCAAACAAGCTATTGCCGTTTAAAGTTATTACTATTTAATAAAAAAAATTTTGGACACCCCTGTATTAGGGTCGTAAAATTTTTATTATTGCAACACAATATGACCCAATAAATAATCTTCAGTAAATATTTAGCATTAAAACTTTATACCCTTGGAGAAATAAAGCCTTTAAATTTTTCAGTAATTTCAAAATTGAAAATATTTCAAAACGGTAAGATTTAAGTGTGATAAACCTTAATCAAATTTATCTTTATTTCAATCGTAGAATCCAAAAATAGAATAATATACAGGCTGTCTCTATTTAAAAAATACAACTATATTTTTACTTATTTGGGACACTCTGTATCTTGTAAAAATATTTTTAAATTGTAGCTTTAATAGTTCTTCAACGAACCCAAAACTTACAATTTGTAAAAATCTAATCGTTTAGCTACAATACTCCGTGTCGTATGTGGTGAACAACCCTGTATCGAAAGATTAATTATTGGTTTTCTTTGTGTTAATAAATATCTGACAGAATTTTTGGTTATTACATTACTTTAGTGAAAACACTGAAATTTCCTTTTATTCATTCACTTTTTCTATGCAACAAGATTTTCTTCTTCTATTAGATATGTGAATAAGTTTTTACTTTTTACTAAAATTACTTTTAAAATTTTCCGTTTTTAGTTAAAATGGAATGGAATAATCAAATAATAATGGAATTTATTTCGATTTACGAGAAATATTCCATTATATGGAATCCCAGGCATTCCGAGCATAAAACCCGGAATGCCTTAAATGATGCTTGGCGTGACATTTCTCAGGAAATGAGTATATAGACTTGTCAGTAGCAGAATTGAAGAAAAAAAAAAGAATCTGTAATGGCAACGTATAAAACGTTGAGGAGGAAAGTTATAAAGTTATAGATTCTTATATACAACCGGATCTGGGAGTGCAGATATATACAAACCATCTAGGTTTGCTTATGATGCTATAGACAGATTCATAAGATCCTGTTACGTTTTCTTTTTCTTTTGCTTCTGTTGTTTAGTTCTTTTGCTTCTTAACAGTTTAGCACAACTTAAAACCAAACCATACCAGCGGCAATCCTAGCACTTAATATATTATCCATATCTGCGCAAGCCAAGAGTACGTACGACACTGAGTTAATTTTACAAATGTAGCGCCAGGTTTGCGTCCAACGTTGGAACGAACATTCGAAGCATCGTGTAGGAGACACATTCGCCAATTGTAATATTGTCGAAAACTGTGTCAAATGTTGGTTCGAACGTTGGACGCATCGTGTAGGACCGTCTTTAGTTGCGTACCGAGTAATGCTCGGGGATCGATAAAAAAAGTTTCAGCATAAATCGTAAATCGCCTGTATCGCCGCGAGCGAGGACGGTACACTAGACCCGATGTTAGTTGCGTGCCGAGTAATCCTCGAGGATCGAAAAAAATACTCGAGACATATCGAGGATATGAATACTCGGATGACCGAGTATTTTTCACTCGAGTGATCCCATCACTACCAAATACTAAAGTTTATAATAAACGGAGTTTGTGAATTGAAGTCAATATAAATAGGTAAAAGTTAATAATAAACTTTTTTTTTACTTAATCTTGGAATTTTTTTTAAGTATTGCATATATTTAAATGTATTTTTTGGTATGTTATAGTAGTTTTTTTTTGACACATTTGGATAAAAAATATATGTTACAATTTTTGCAATCTTCCTATTGCAACGTCAAACAGAACTACCTATGGTGTCCATTCCGTATACGCATGAATACATGGACAGCATTATACCTCTTCCTTAATCTTTTTATTCAAAAGATACTTACCTAGTTCTTGTAGTAATGTGGCTTTTTGTAATGGATCACTGGTATTAGCCAATCTTTTACTAAGCTGTTGAATACGACTGACTTGTCGCAAAATGTGACTTGCTTTATGAAGATGGCCCAAAACTTTTGTATGCGCTTCTAGTTGTTCATATGAAACAGTAATCTAATTAAAAAAAAATAAAGACGTTCAAAAACAAATTCATTAAAATCCTTTTTAATCTATATTATACTCCCATATTATCAGGGGCATCCATGATTGGGATCCATGATTCAGGAAAGGGGGGGGGCTAGACTCAAAAATTTACTCAAAGTATACAGGGTGGTGTCAATTTCGATGCTCAACACTGGCATCTCAGAAACTACGAGAGATACGAATTCGGTTAAATGGCACAAAAGTTGCGTAATTAGACAAACACCTATAAGAAAACCCCGGTATCTTGATTAGTTTCGGATTTATATAAAAAAAAATGAAAATAATACGTTTATTTTAAACTAGCGTGTACCAGCGACTTCGTTCGCGTCGAATTAATCATTTGTAATAGTGATGATAAAGCAAAGCAAGAATTGCCATTAACATACAAACTGGATAAATTTTTCTCACATTTATGTCAGCATGAGAAAAAACAATATGACGATATTATTATAACTTAATATTTGAAGGGTAGTTTCATCTCATTGAATTTGACTTTCGAAAATCCGTTTGCCCAAATAAGCTTTTACGTCAAGCAGTTTAAGCAGAATCGGTTAAGCAATTACCCAACTTTTTCGAACACCCTGTATGATTTTAAAATTTTAAAACATAAAAACCAAATAAATTATGTTTGTCCAAGCGTTTTTTTTCGAAAGACTAACCGTTTTTAAATAACAAATATTGTAATATTTGAGGGGCGTTTTCACCCTATTGGAATTTGAGATTCGAGAAACCCCTCCTTATCGAACCCCTACACCCCACAGTCAACTCTTGATTAAGGTTAAAATCAGCTTTAAACGCGAAGCATAGAATCGCGATTATTCAATGGTCATATTTTATGAAACACCCTGTATAAATTTATAAAAAATCTTAAAATAATATGTAAACAACAAAATAAAATATACGTGTTTAAGTTTTTCCTGAAAATTCACCGGTTTTTAAATCAAAACATTTTAATATTTGAGGAATAGTTTCACCCAGGGTTATTACGTTTAACGTGATAAATCAAGTGATTTTTTAATTTTAATCATGTGATATAAATCAAAAATCAACTTTTAAAACTTTACAATAAATCGAAAACTAATCATAAGTAAAGTTTATAAAATGTCTCTAGAAAACTATGTTTGTTTCTATAACATATATACCCTATATCTATTCGTTAAATGAAATGTTACACTTACTATTGTAACGTTCAAATACGTTTAATAAATCGAAAAAATTGTAAATGTTATAAAATTATATAAAAATTTGTATAACACATATACCTATTCTATTACATATCTATTCATTCAGTACTAAAATGTTGGACCGACTTTTGAAGTAATTTCGTAATGAATCCATTAGACTTCTAAAGGCAGGGATTGGCTTTGAAATTTATGTACAAGTGACAAAAAAATGCTGTTCGAATAGATTCCATTCGCAACCTCTAGTGCAGAAAAAGGTTCTTTTCATGTTAGACTATATCTTCAAATCGTTGTCAGAAAATATGCTGTTTTATATCTTTTATTTTACACTTTGACAATAGATAATACCAATTTCATTCTCGACTTAAGACTATTTTCGAACAATATTGTATTGTGTGTAAGGAGTAAAATTATACTTCCTTTAACACGAGGTTGTACGTTTGACGGACTATATATGTAACAGGGAGGCAATAAAAAGTATTTTTATCTCGAATAGAATATATACTATTATATTTTTACAAATTAAACATTACAAATAATCTTTAATCACTTCAAACGTTGCAATAATATAAAAAGTAATGCCTTGTAAGTAATCGAGTAACAATTTGTACACTGGTTGAAATTGACGCTTAATATCAGTTTAATAATATATTTTGGTACTTTTTGTGCTTAGGGCGTAAAAGTGCTTTAATTACTTTTATGCCTAGGCGCTGAAATGACAAAATTAATACTCTTGTGGCATTTCAAAAATCTTTTGATCTAAAGCGAGCGACTTTTTTTGCGGATTATATTGGTGACCGATGTCTGGGAAAATGACACGCGCCGTAGAATTGTTAATGTTGTCAGTATTGGACAGAGTTATGACGATTTAACCATTTAGGATAAGAATTTAATTGGAATTAAGTCTTAATTATTTGGAAACTGATTTAAATAATGTTTTCTATTAAAATAAAAAAATAAAAAATTCTGATTTAAAAAATCTGATTTAATAAAAATTGATTTTTTTTGATTTTTTTAAAAAATCAAAATTTTTTCCAACCCTGTTTCACCCTTTAATTCGGTTTCGAAAATCCCTTCTTATCGAACCTCTACACCCTAAAGTCAATCTGTTTTCCAAAATCGTCTTTTTACGTCAAGCGCTTTAAGCAGGATCGTGATTAATCAATGACCAGATTTTTCGAAACACCCTGTATATACATTTTTAAAAAATCTTAAACATGTAAAAACAAAATAAAATATACGTGCTTAAGCGTTTTGGGAAACTTGACCGTTTTTTAAAAAATATTGTAATATTTGAGGGTGGTCTCACCCCCTTGGAACTGGAATGTCGAAAAATCCTTCTTATCGAACCCTACACCCTAGAATCAACCTCTATGCTAAAATTGAGCTTCTACGTTGAGTGGTTTAAGCAGGATCGTGATTATCCAGTGTCGTCAGTCACTTAAGGATATTTGTAATGACACGGATTATTGCTGATTATTAGAGCTACATCCACGCTATACAGAGTGTCCCAAACATTAATCCTGTATTTAAACGGAACACCCTGTATTACATTTTTAGTTTCTACGATTAAAATAAAGCAAATCTGATTAAAATAAAGGTTTATTAATTTAAACCTTACCGTCTTTTGAGTTTTCATATTCAATAAAGCGCATTAAATATACTGAAGTTTATTATTGATCGTAATATACCATTTTATACAGAGTAAAGCCCACGAATATCATTTTTAACTTGTTTATTGAACATTCGAAAATTCAGATACTAATTGTCTACCAAATTGTATTATACCATTTTTACCTATAGCTTCAAATTTCCGTAGAAAATGCATTTTTCTTGTAATTTTAAATTCATTTATCAATATATCCATGGAAGACTGACATTTTAGATTATTTTTAAAGATACCAACTTTTTAAAGAGTACAGATATTAATATTCTCGATATACTTTGTTTATTTCATAAAAATAAAAAAACTGTTTAAATATTTGTTACAAAGGACCACCAATTATTCCAGTACATTCAAACTACATTAATTGACTGTTGCGATTAATAATAATTACCCAAAAACTAAAAAAACTGAATTTTTATGTGTATTGGACAGTGTGAAAAGTAATACCTTAAAAATGATATTTCATTTTTGACAAATGCTTATTTGTAACAACATAGACATTCATTTTTATAACTTATTATTATTATATTGATTCAAATCCACATTTATTTTGGAATAATTTATTCACGAACATACCGGCAAAATAAGAATTAATTATGGTGGTATATTTAATTAATGGTATACTCTTATGAAGATTTAAATAGTTTTCTTTTGCATACAAACGGCTATAATTTAATTTACCTTTTTAAATGGGCTAGTAGTTTGTTAAAAAACAATATTACTAGCCTGTACATTTTGTACATTGTTGCTTTAAAAAAAAAAAAAAAAAAAAAAAAAAAAAAAAAAAAAAAAAAAAAAAAAAAAAAAATATTCATTTTCTACGAAAACTTAGAAGGGATAGGTAAAAAGTGGTATAATACAATTTGATAGGATAATTAAATTATGCATCTGATTCTCCTAAAATATACAGGGCGTTCTATTTAAATTAAACAAGTTATTGCCGTTTAAATAGTAAATATTTAAATAATAATGATTTTTAGACACTCATAAGGTAGTATAATTTTTATTATTGCAACACAATAACTGATCAATAAATAAACTTCAGTAAATATTTAGTATTAAAAACATTGCAGAAAGATTCTCCTTGGAGAAATGAAGCCTAAAATTTTACTGCAATTTCACAAAATTGAATTTTATTCTCCAATCGTAGAATCTGTGGGTCAGATAATATTAGGTGTCTACTGAAAAATACACCATAGCATTTTTTTACTTGTTTGGGACACTTGTATCTGTAAAATTATTTTAAATTGTAGCCTTTAATAGTCCCTTCATGAAATCCTAAGCTTAAAATTTGAAAAATCTAATTATCTAAAGCCATTAGAACAACCCTGTATATTAGTATAGATTTAGAGCAATAAAACAGTACAAAAAAATATGTGCACATGTAGCAAATACATTCTTGCGTTAATATGATAAAGAAAAAAAAAAAAAAAAAAAAAAAAAAAAAAAAAAAATATTTTTTTTTCTGTTAAAATTTTACGTAAAAATCATGTATTAAACTTATTATTCACTTAAAATCAAAAATGGAGTTTAGCTGGTTATCACATTTCACTGACGATATGTTACTTTTATCAAGATCTACCAATCCTGAAAATATTTGCATATATTTCTGACTCACTCTGTATAACGGAGGAACATGTTTATGTTCCCCCTTATAAGTTAACAAATGTTTATTTATTAAACATAATTTTAAACATTTTTAACGGTAAAATGTACAGTAAAAAGGAGCCATGTACTGTAATTTGAGCTACATGCATAGACTAATGGTGGGTTCATACAGCCAAATAAAATAAAATAAGAATAAAATAAGAAAGTTGGTTATATGGGATACCGTACATGCGTTCATACAGCCAAATAAAATAAAAAAAAAAAAAAAAAAAAAAAACTTTTTTTTGTTTTATTTTATGTGAAAACGGCTTTGCGCACGCTTAATTCTAACCTACAAATATTTTCAGTTTGATTTAATTTATTTTATAATTTCACATGGGCAAAATGTATAATATAGTAGGCAACGAATAAATAAATATACTATAAATAGTAAAATTACTATAAACAATCGTAAAGGTTAACTTTTATCCAGCCTCGTACTGCGTGCATGAGCAAATATATATTTCTTATTTTATTTTATTTGACTGTATGAACGCACACAAATAAGAATTCCTTATTTCTTATTTTATTTTATTCTTATTTTATTTTATTTGGCTGTATGAACCCACCATAATATCACATACTAGAGATAGATTGGACACTGATATAAAACAAATGGGTCCGTCATTTAGAGCCACCTGGTGATCTGGAAGAAACTAATGAGAGTTTAAATATGTTTTGTTATTAATATATCTAATCGTCTGTTACTTATTAACGCTAATTAAAACGGTAACGTTATTCAAGAGCAAAATTATTTTGTAAAATATAAAATAGTAAATATAGATTTAATACTGCCATTTATGTTTTATTAGATCATTAGAAGTGTAACATACTCGAAACAAAATTAAATGAGAATACATACATTTTAAACACCGACAATAGATCACATAGCGCCTATTTTTTTTGATTTAACAACTAAATTATAATATAGTAAAAATATTATAGACTACTAATTAACTGTTACTAAAATACTATATATTACCAACTATGTACTTACTATTTATTATTAAACTATTTTTTGTATTTAATTTATAAATTATACTTTAAAATGTCAAATGACTTTAATAAAAAGTTTAGTATCTAATATATTGAAACTTAAATGGAAATGACAGTTCATTGCAAAATAGTTTTCCTCCAAGATGTAGAGAAAGCAAAATTAAACTGTCAATATTAATGCAAATGTCAATATCTGACAATAAAATTTGATTTTTAACTGTCACTCAGAGACGCTTATGTTGTGATTTTACGGTTTGATTTCGTTTTGATTTGTCGAATTATTGTAAAAATTAAATTCTCTGATTTTTTGCAGGCCAGTATTCTGTTTTAGACAATGTTTTAAAATGGTGGACAATTTGTGTTTTGTAATACTTTAATTATTTTTATCATGGAGTTTAATTGTTATACACCTGGTTTCCGAAGGATACAATGGTGGCAAAATTTAAAGACTATCATAGATTTTTAAATTAAAATGCTACTTGCAGAGCAGTTATTTGAATTCTTTTTACAGTGCATGTAAGGAATTAAGGACGCGCGTTTATATTAGCATGATCAGAAGATGATTACATCTGATTTAATTTGTTTTATTATTTCAGGTCCCAAACGGAAACCAACTGGGAATCTTGCCTACACCAAAAATATATACCCAGTCGCTTCCAATTCACTTCAAAGGGAGGAAAACTATGTAAAACTGCCTGCTATTTGCTGAAAAACCGTAAAGATTAAATTAACTGTAACAACTTAATATATACTATTTCAAGTATTAATATTTTTAATTAATATCCGACATATAAGAACACTTGTATGCTTTAATTCAGTTGATTTATCGTTTATAATACGTTAGACCTAATTAAAAGCACACAAAGTGTCCTTACAATTTATTTTAAATTAACTAAACAACTCTTCCGCGCTCCTCTCTTCCATTAGTATTCCTTCCTCCGTCTACCAGAGGCGCCCTTGTATAAAAATTTGAAATGTATTATAAGTTGTCTAACCATTTAATAGTATAAGGTCTTTATCTGTATCTAACACGAAATCAGATCGACTGTAAATACCAGAATGCACCAAAGGAATGCACAAAACTAATAAAACACAAACTATAAACACAAATCACTCAAATCCCTGAACTTTCCGACAAATCATGAATATCTGAATTAATAATTATTTAAATAATAGGGAAAACAACTGTATGATCACCATTTTGTCAACTAGAACAGAACTAGACCATAGACGGTAGTCAACATAGAGACTGTCATGTCATCTTCATAATATAAATTAGAAACCTGTATTTTAATGTCTTTTACGCCGTCTAGCGATGCGGAAGAAACTAAATTTGTAGTTCTATAAATTTACTGAAAGGCTCAGGGCACATGAAAATTGTGAAATGAATGTTGAGAACTTGGTAACCCTGACTGGATGGTTGGTGGTTATTTTATTGGCATGTTACCAGTTCTCTCCGTGTATTTTAGATTTTTACTAGGCATTTATCATAGGATTTACCAACTTATTACCCTGCAGAGTTTATACATTTGTAGGGACCTACTATAGACTCTCTATAGATAGACTGATAGACCCTCTTATAGACCTATTATAATATTGTAAAATCGTAAAATTAAGAAATTGGCGCTTATCAAGTTTTTCCCTGGACCCTTCAAATTATAGTATTCCATTTTAATAAACAGGTCAGTAGTATGTTTGTGCCATTCTTTGGATATTGTCCGTTCAAATCTTCCCTGACTTAGTTAAACCTAATACAATACTTACTTGGGTTTTCAATCTTTCAGCATTTGCAAATAGACTTTGAATATGCATATTCATAATGGATAAAACATTTTCCAACTTGGTAGCATGATTTGCCTGTCGAAGTAAATCATCATGGTTTTCTAATACTTGCTTCTGCAATTCTTTATTTAAAGTTTCAATTCCTTCTCCTAATTTTCTTACTTGTTCTGTAAAAGCTAGTGACTCTGATAAAGCTTTGGAATTATTTTTTAAAAACTGGCCATAGAATTCTAGCAATAAAACAGATACAATTATTCAAAAATGTAGAAAACAGAAATCGCATATACCATCATTTTCAATTAACTGTACTACGTTTTCTGTACTCATTGTCCTTATATTTGCTTATATTCACCAAATGTTGGTTAATTTAACTCAATATTTATTGATATTTATAATTTACATCACATTTTCCATTCCTAAAAATAATACATTTTTAATTTTACATATTTGTCATAGATAACCTTATGATTATGATATGATTATGATCGTATTCACAGAATATACTAACGAAAAAGAAGCCCAAGTTCCTTGTAATAAATCGGTTCCATTTTCGTAACGCCATCTCTCGACATAGCTGACATTATAGGTTAGCCAAAGGGGTGCGGGCCGGGGGGAATTGTAAAATACACTTTTTTATTTTAATGATTTTATTTTTGAAACATATTATGTGAAACAATTACATAATATGTCTTAAAAATTAAATTACAAACGGAAACAAAAGGAATTAAATAACTTAGTAAATTTACAAAGTTTATTGATAAAAAGTTATGCTATGCAAATTGATATATTAAGTATAACCTCTTGGTATAACATTGTTAAACAAACATTAACAAATCATAACATAGAAACAATCATAGAACTAAAAAAGTACTATTACATAAAAACAGGTGATACAATACTTCAAAATTAATTTTAACATAATATCAAAACCGAAAATCAAACTGCAAACACAACCACACTTATCACAACAGAAATTAACACACACGTCCGCGGCAAATGTCCAAGAAAGACCGATCATTCTGATTGGTCCTGGTCCGGTCGTAGCTCACGTCGTATTGTCGGTATGGAAAATCCCTGTCCAAAAATTTGACGATCAGCGCCATCATCCGTCATAATTGGGAAACTTTTGCTGGAACCATTTTTAATATTTCACTTACATGGCCCTGATTGTATTTGATTGATATTTGTCAAATTAATTTGTCATATTTGTAAAAATAAGCAGGGTTGTTCCTTGTCCTGGAAGTCAGGGTTAGGAAAACTACATGTTACTTTTAAAAACTACATAAACTACATTACATGTAGTTAATGTAGTTTATGTAGAGGGTGTAGCTTATGTAACCTATGTATGTAACTTTCAAATGTCAAAGGTTTGAGGTGAGGTTATAATAAGTTGAAGCTTTAAAAACACATAATTTATTTAAGAAAACAAAAGAAATATGGCTTTAAATATAATATTTACATCATATTATATCTATTACACCTCATACAAAGAAAAATTGAATGAACGGGAAAAGACGTCGTCTTTGAAGAAAAACTACACGTAGTTAATCAGGTAAATAACGTCTTAATTAACTACTTCCGAACCCTGGTGAGGTTATAATAAGTTGAAGCTTTAGAAAACACAATGTATTTAAGAAAACAGAAGGCTTTAAATATAATATTCACACATCATATTATTTAGACCCCTCATACAAAGCAAAATTATTCATAATATCAATACATAGATTATTAACGTAGTTTTCATGTAGTTAATAAACGGGAAAAGACGTAGTTTTTGAAGAAAAACTACACGTAGTTAATAGTCAATCAGGTAAATTACGTCTTAATTAACTACTTCCGAACCCTGCTTGAAGTTTGATTTGGTTTGATTGTGCATAACCTGTGGCAACCTCAAAATTGTGCTCTGCATATTCAGTTGAAAATGTGCATCTGTGGTAATTTAATTTGTGGTATCCCAAAAAGAATTCCCAATTGGAATATCTCTGGCCATCCCTTGAAAATCTGAACAAAAGTCCGAGAGTGGATTATTCTAATTCTACAGCAAAGTTCTACCACGGCACATAAAACAATCGGCACGCCAACTCTACTCAGATTCCATTGTTTAAAATTTCTATAAAATTTGACCTTGTCGGCCCCATTATGGTTTCCTAGTCAGCCGCTATTAAAAATTTCAGAAAATAAACTATTGTTAGACAGGGTCGTATTAAAAAATACTGTAATTGACTGAAACCGAATTTTATTTACAATACTTTTGTCCAAACAAATGAATCGTTAACTGCGCATACTTCTCGAAAAGTAAAATGAAAAATCAATTAAATATTTCACTGTAGAGAATAGACAATTAAAATTAAAAACATGCAACTAACAAAAACATGCCAGGAGTTACGTAAGAATTAAAAAAATACCAATAAAATATTTATTGAACAATATAAAGAGGTTACGTACAAATTATGCCCATCAATGGGCGTAGTTTTATTAATATTCAAATTTCTCAAATTAATAAATCCACAATTTTTTTGAGAAACTTCTATTTTTTTCATGGCAGGAAAAAGTGGGTACTGCATTTAGAGTTTACATGTCATGTAAGTGAATTTGTAAACATTTTAATTCAAAACATCAGAACACAACCTGTGGTACCTTTTCTGGGCCTTATTTATATCTTCAACCAAGTCTTCTCTATTAGATGCAATTACCCATATTCTTGCCCTAAAAATGTACGTTAACTTGTTACTAATCTATTGTTATTTTCTTGATATACCTATTTTTATTTATTTTTATAATTTTATTATTTAAATTAATAATATAATTATTTTTAAATTCTAATGTTAATAAATATTTAACATTTTAATCTTGCTATTATTTTATATACATAGGGAAAATCTTGGGAATAAGTAAATATTTTCAGGGGGGTTTATGAGTTTTTTTCGGTAAAAAATATTGAAAATCGTGCATTTTCTTTTAACTTCCCTGTGGAGTGTTTTCTGAAAACTTTTTAGAACTGCCTGTTCACCGCAAATTCTCCCACGGTATAATTTCTCTTAATCTCTGATATACCATAGTTACGGCTTTACTCTATGGCTGGTGGCAATCAAAAGGATGCAAATACAGGAAAACTGGTGGTTTCCTTTCTCAACTCAACATTTAAAAAAAAAACATTTTTTTTAAACTTAAATAACTCTCATTATTTTGGATTTATCTGAAAAACGGTAAGGAGAAAATGTTTCTTTTTGACCAGATCTGCCAGCCCTGAAAATATTTAATTTATTTAAGACTCACCCTGTATATAAGTTTGTTAACATTTAATATAGATGCTGAACTTGTATATTTTTAAAACTCATTAATGAATGTCATAATATGTATACTACTGTTTTCTTAACTAAAATATTAAAATAATTAATCACATATGTATATACATACCTAATCGGATCTCTAGGAAACAGAAAGAAACTTTTATTGCAGTTTAGTCCTCTACTCGGGCAGTTTTTTGCTGCACAACTTCGCCCAGGCATTTTAAAAACACGTAAAATTAACGATTTAAAAATGTTAACTCAAGAAATAAACAAAATAAATTAATCCGTACGCTACTGACTCGAATCAGCCGAAAGTGTGCGCAGTCGATGAAAGAAACTACGACACTGGTTACTTTCTGTTGATGGAAACCTGTGGAAACCCTAATGGCGGCGTGCGCGACGGTATGCGCGTAGCGTTCCCGCCAAAGAGAGTTAGCCTGCCGTGTGATTTATATGCCGTGGTTCTGGTATATGCAAATAGAGGGTAAAGTGGATCCGGCATTTGACCTGCGCCTGGTATTTGCTGCATTTGATCATCGATATTACGCAAGCGCACAATGCCGATGTTGCCAATTTGCAGTTTATTTTCGAATTATTTTTGCTTAATATCTTGATATCAAAATTAAGGTAAGAAGGATTTAAGATTGTGAATGAATTATTATGAATATAAAATTGCAATAATAATGACATTTATTTATATATTTACATTAGAATTAAAAAATTATCATTTAGGGATTTTTAATGGTTTTAAACTGCTGAATTATTTTATTGTTTCCGGCAAGTTATTTAATTCTAGTTATTTACAGGCAACTATAATTTTGATTATATGTATTGAAGTACTACCAACGTACTACCATGACGAGTCTTATAGAACAATACACACGTCAATGGGAGATAGAGGTAACATTTTACCTATAATGTTATTACATTATAATTAAAAAAAAAAAAAAAACGGCGTCAGCGATGGCGTCATGATGGCTATGGAATGAAGAGATCGCTGTCATTTTATATGTAAATTTATACGGGAAATGTCGATGTTCATTTCCCAGCCAACTGGACGCTGCGTTTTTTTTCGATCATACGGTACTTTGATTATAATGTTTGTATTATAATTTCTTGAAAATATCAAGTTAGTGGATTAATAGCAATTTTAGACATATATTTTATCGAAGAATGTGTTGATAAGACTAAAATAAGCTTTATGTTTTATCTTTTTCTCTTACGTTACAGAATTTAATATTAATATTTAGTTTTTGATCTGTCAAGATATTATTTTGATTTGTAAAAATAGTATAAATATAATATTCCATTAACAAACGGACTCAAATCAATTTGTATTATAGTCCACGTAGATGAGATATTAATGTTACTATTATAATATTTTGATTATAATATTTGTATCATAATTTCTAAAATATCAAGTTAGTGAATTAATAGCAATTTTAGAATGAATTTTAGACATATATTTTATCGAAGAGTGTGTTGATAAGACTAAAATAAGCTTGTGTTTTATCTTTTTCTCTTTAAAAGGGTGATGGTTTGTGTCGTAGAATACATTATGCCTTTAATGAGTGTAATGGATATTCTTTTTCACTACTGTAATTTCTAGTTTCCTATAATGCCAAATCTTAACAATATGGTGTAAGTTGAGTTTTGATCTTATTAGTTTTATACCTGTGTTTATATAAGACCAAATTAAGACATATAGTTTGTATTAATATTAAGATCTTTTCTATAATATTTCTATATGTCTTAATCTTAATACTATATTATGCTTTGCCTGAAAATAAATGTTGCTAAAATATCTTAATTTTGCATATCCTATTCCATCCTTCCATTAGGAAAAAAATATAGTTTGTAATCATATATGCTAAGAAAATCACATAAATTAGTTGTAAGAATAGAGAAATCGTAAGGTAGCAGAAAAAATTAATGCAAATATATGGTATACAGAATTAAACAAGGTAACTGTTAATGTTGCTGAAGCTGACTCTACAATTTTAATTACTGAGGCTAAAAGGCCTTTTAAGGCCTCCATAGTTTTGATGTAATGTTAAAAAAACCTATTGTGAACATGACATGGAGCTACAGCATTAAAAAATTCAAAAAAAGAAAACTTCATACTCCCTTTTAATTTCCGAATTCTTCATATAAAGCACTTTTAAAACGTAGCATAATAATCTAGAGCAATTAGATTAATTATAGAAATCTAGAGTTTTATTATTTATATTTAATTTATTGACAATGAAAATATATAATAAGCGTTCACGTGTTGTGCAAAATATTAAAATAATATAAATAATATACCGCGTACTAAGATTGAAAAAAAAAAAAAAAATGCCGTCAGATGATGATTATGAAATGAAGATAGCTGTCAGCTTGCATGGGAAATGTCATCAATCGTCATTTCCTAGCAAACGGAGCCAAGTTTCTGATCATACGGTATATATATTGACAAAAAACACTGAAAAGTATACTTTGCTTTACTGAAAATACCCAAAATAACTGGGTAATCATACATCGAAGATGTGCGCATGCGTAGAGTCTGTGACTATATGCAGCAAAAACTCGTTTCAAGGTCAGCCACCGGATCCACACCATTACCCAAAGTTGATATAAAAAATTAACATTTAATTTTATAGAGTTAAAAAATGTTAATTCATAGGCAGACAACAGATAGATATATATATTGTTGCGAATCAGTGAACTGACTCAACGAACTTATATCCCGCCCTCAGATGACCTTAACATCGCATTAAAGCAATACCGTAATGATTCATTTGTTTGAGAAGAATCGAGTCCCACTGGAATGGACTAGTACATACGAGAACATTAGAAAACCTTCTCTACGCACCTAACGATTTATGGACTATTCTAGAAACCTTTAGCTGTAGGTATAAAAACCGGCGGCCGTGGCCTACAGGGAGCAGTTATAAATATACCAGTGCAGTTGACGCGCTAAAATTCAAAAATAAATTCTTAGTTATAAATCGTTTGTAAATAGTTCTATAAGTCTTTTATCGTTATTGCTTTTTTGTTAATTAGTGTTAAATAAATAGTGTTTAAATAAATTAAGACTTTCTATCCACACGGAACCGACGAAAAACGTAAATAATTGGTGTCAAGTGTGGCGTGTGTGATAGACAAGAAAAATAAAAGACTGACCATGGCTCTAAAAAAATTGTTGAAAGACTTGAAGTGTCCGAACTGAAATGCATATTGGAAGAGAGAGAGTGCGAGACAGATGGAAGGAAAAGCATTTTGCAAGCTAGACTGAGAGTCGTTTTGATTGAAGAAGGTGAGGATCCTGACAAATTTTGCTTTGAGTTCGAAAGTGACCTTGACTCGTGCCTCAAAAAATTAGAAAATAAAAACACAGAGAAATTCTCAAAAAATTGTAAAATAACTCGGAACAATTGAATTAGCAATCGACTTGAAGTTAATTTAGGAAGAGAAAAATCGCGATAAAACTAATATTTGGAAGATAAGATCGCAGAAAATTCTGAAAGACATAATAGCCAGCTTTAATAATAAAATAATTAATTTAGAAGAAAAGATAACAGAAATTATAGAGAATTCTACGGAACTACAAGACAAAATAACACATATTGAGGATGATGTAAACCGAAAAAATCGAAATTTTTAAAAGACGAAATAGCGAAGTCAAATTCACCAAAATGTCAAGAAACATCGAAGGCACCGAAACTAGTCGAAATAGGTAAAAGCAATTTCAAAACGAATTGCGAAACTCCAGTTTTATTGAAAAACCGCTTGGGCCAACTACTTTTACCAATTTGAAGCCGCTGCGAGAGCAAACGGCTGGACAAGCTACCGCTTTGACTATCGCACTGCGGGGAGATGCGACTGATATCCTGCAGACACTGTCACCATCGGAACAGGGACATTATCAGCAATTGGTACGACATTTAGAAATGAGGCACGGCCAAGCTCATTTGGAACATGTCTATCATTCCAGCTAAAAATGCATTCAAAAAGTCAAAATGAGTTTCTGCAGGAGTTTGAAGCTGACGTAGCCCGCCTCGTTCGCCTCGTACCCTGCTATGCCCGAAAATGTTATGGAGCGCTTAACAGTACAGGCTTTTATTGATGGTTTACGTGACAACGAGACAAGGCAAACACTTCTTTTAGCTCATCCAACGCATTTGGGAGATGCCCCAGCACGTGCCCTGGAATTTGAGGCCGCGAAAGAATGCTCCAGGTCTCTAGGATTTGTACGGGCTGTTGAGGAGTTCCGACGATTCCAAAGTGGAAAGGATTGTGCTGAAAGTACTGGATCAGTATATCAGCAAGAAGGGGGGACCGATTCGCTGTTGGAATTGTGGACAGATGGGAAAACGTTGCAAAGAAGAGAAAGAAGTGAAAGTCTTAATGACGACTGTGGTTGGTGATAGTTGGCAAACCGAAGATCTTGCAAATGACCAAATCAGCATCCGGAGTTGGGCTTGGTGATTAACTGGAAAAACGCAGACCAGAGAGACCAACGTTGGAGGAAGTTTGCAGATATTCGCCGAACGTGTAGTCGTACTGGTCCCAGTGAAATTCATTGGTAATAGATATCGGACTACTTCGCCGTGTGATCGAGTGACCGGAGGGACAAGAAGCGAGAAGGCAGATCGTCATTCCAAAGAAGAAGGTCCCAGAAGTCTTGGAGTAAGTTCACAATGGAACCAGCGGAGGACATCTTGGTGTTACCAAGACACTTGGTAAGCTGCGTGAACGGTTCTACTGGGTGAACTGCAAAGAAGATGTGAGGGCCTGTGTAAGAAATGTGACATTTGTGCAGCCATTAATGGGCCAAAAAAGCATAGTAAAGCCCCTATGCGCCAGTACAATGTTGGTAGTCCCTTTGAACGAATAGCGGTCGACGTGGCTGGTCCTTCCCGGAGACGAACGATGGCAACAAATACATTGTGGTAGTAATGGATTACTCAGCAAATGGGTCGAGGCCTACGCGTTGCCAATCAAGAAGCGTCCACGATTGCTGATGCCCTTGTTAAAGAATGGATCTGCAGGTTTGGTGTTCCCCTGGAGCTTCATTCAGATCAGGGAAGAAATTTTGAGTCCAATCTGTTCTAAGGCGTCTGTGAAGTCCATAACATCCACAAGACCAGGACGACTGCTCTACATCCACAATCCAATGGGATGGTTGAACGCATGAACAGAACTATCAACCGTTATCTGGCCAAAGTAGTCTCTGACCACCAAGAGACTGGGACAAATTTCTTCACCTGTTCCTGTTAGCCTACCGTTCATCCGTCCAAGAATCTACAGGCCAAACTCCAGCCAGCATCATTATGGGACAGGAAGTGCGCCTACCCTGTGATTTGAAGTTTGGTTGCCGACCGGGGGAAGAAGTCGCCGGAGAAGACACACACTACGTCAAAGGATGGACGACATTCATCAGAGAGTCCGCCTAAATATTCAAAGCACTAGTGACCGAATGAAGGAACACTACGACATTCAAGCTGAGCATGGAGGATACCAACCAGGGAAGTTGGTGTGGCTATATAACCTGCAGAGGCGTCGTGGGTTATCTCCGAAGCTACAATCCTCGTGGAAGGGCCATACGAAGTCATGGATAGAATTAATGACGTCGTATACCGTATCAGAAAATCGCCAAAAGGAAAACCGAGGGTAGTCCATTTCAACCGTTTGAGCCCCAACCAAGGCGAAATAGAAGATCGTGCTAGGACCGTGAGAACCTGCAGCTTTGATCCCCTGATTCGGAGATGTCCTTTGACGATTTCATGGCCCGATACAGCAGTGAGAAGGCTCGCTATGGTGTAACCAAAGAAGATCAACGAGACCTCTTTCCGTGCCTCCTGATTATTCGCTCGCTCATTGTGTGGCTCGAGATTTGCGGATGTCCAGAGGAATCGCTGCGACGTTCAATGAGAATTTGGGCGTGTCGGAGAACTACGCCGACAGGATCCAGAGGTTGGAAGCGTCTTGAGGCTAACCGACAATGCACATGGTCAAGCAAGACACATCTTCTACTTGGTCACCAAGGAATGATCCCCGAGTAAGCCGACTTATCTCAATCTATGGAAGACCCTGATTGAACTGAGAAGCCCTGCTAAACAACAACATTGCACGATTAGCCATGGCGTGTGGACTCGATGGGTTGAGTTGGCGTACAATCCAAATCATGATTGAAGTCTGTTCCAATTTTCGGAATCGAGATCCCGTTTGCTGCTGCTAAACCCAAAGCTGAGATCGGGAGAGAACTGTAGACTGCTATTTCTACCAGACTTCGCAATGTACCAGGAGCCAGCTTTGCAAATACCCTCATTCATTCACCGTTTACATCTCGGGACGAGCACGTGCCTAAGAAGGGGGCAGTGTTGTGGACCCGTGTGAACTCGACCTAATCTAACTATATGTCCCGCCCTGATGACCTTAAGCGCATTAAAGAATATTGCACCGTAATATTCATTCGTTTGAGAAGAATCGAGTCCCACTGGAATGGACCAGTACATACGAGAACATTCGAAAACGTTCTCTACGCACCTAACGATTTATTGATCTATGGATTATTCTAGAGTTCTTTACCTGTCGGTATAAAAGTCGGCGGCTGTGGCCTACAGGGGCAGTTATAAATAAACTGTACAGTTGACGCGCTAAAATCAAAAATAAATTCTGCTGGCAAATCGTTTGTAAATAGTTCTATAAGTCTTTTATCGTTATTGTTTTTTTTTTGTTAATTAGTGTTAAATAAATAGTGTTTAAATAAATTGTGACTCTCTATCCACACGGAACCGACGAAAAACGTAACAATATTTATATAATACACGAAGCACATCTGCAAAACTTGAGAATAACGCAGTTAGTTGAAAATATATTTAAACAGTAATAATTAAGGAAAAATCAGTCTTTGGTCCCATGTAAGAAGTTCACTTTTCCCATTTTTCTTTAAAGCTGACTCAAAATTTAACACTCAGTAGTACACTATGTGGGGAGAAAACATAATACTTTCATTGCAATGCAAAATTGTCTTATAAAAAGATTTGGAAACCCGTAGAGGTTAAGTTTAATATAAAGTCATTTGGTTGGTTTAATACATTGTTATTATCTATATCTTTTATTATTTTATAGGGATCATTCTAATACTTACAAAGCATTCTGGGCTATAATAAAATGCAATTTTCGTAGAAGAAAGCAACCGTATCTTTCAAGGACGAATGAAGTTATGTAGGAAGTCTGTGGTAGTTTAATAGAACATTGTTGGGATCAGTCAATCATTGCTTCCGTTTAAGGTAAGTAAAAGAATGTATAACCATAGTTGAAGCAATTTATTTTGAGTAAAAGCATTATTTATTTCAGTCTTAGGAAGTTAAGAATAAAATCAATTCTAGTATCTTGGCAGTATCATTTATTCAAGCTAATTACTGATTTCAATATTTTCTTACTTAATTGACTGCCTTTATGTATTTGCTCGAATGTAATTATAAATATATATAATGCCTTTTTCTTTAATATTTATTTTTAAATTTGTTTATGTCTAGTATGACGATCTTAATACTTATTAATATTTTTTTAATTTTACAGGATAGATATAAAATTTGAGTCATTTTCTATGGACACAAGGAAAAATATTGGGTGTGGAAACTAAATCTGGAGTTTTTGCTTTAACTATTTATTTAAACAAAGTAAAAGATGAATAAAAACAAACTAAAAATTCAACAAAACATAGAGATTTTCTTACAATGAACTGTCACTCTACATATAACCTTTAACATTTCTCATATAGATGGCGCAACGTATTTTGAACAATGGAATTAAAATAAAAATTCATTTAACAGCTCCCCTTAATTCAATCGTTCACAAATCGTTGTCCATATATTTATTTATTCTAGTCCATGACTGAATAAAATAATTTGTCGAAACCCAAACTTTTAGTTGTAATACATCAGCTATCATTCATTATTAACGTACTTAAATCTATATTTTCACTTTTTTCGCCATTTTCTGCTATTAAATATTTTACTATGTTTGCCTTGTTATGAAATACAGGATTTGATACTAACTTGTGAGCACTTTGATTATCGTTATACATAATAATTAGATAATAAAAAACAGCAGAAAAAAAAAAAAAAAAAAACCTTTAATAAAAATTGCCTCTTTAGCTGCTTGTGAAATAGCTACATATTCAGCTTCTGTGCTTGAAAGCGCTACCGAATGCTGTTTCTTAGCTTCCCAAGAAAACTTACTTACCAAGTTTAAAATAAACCTGATATGATTTTACATCATTTATATTTTGTTATCCTAATCTTGTATCTGTATGAAACTGATATAAATCTTCTAGAAAGTTACCCTTTATTTATTGTTCCTTTGAATATTTTAAAATTCTCTTATGCTTTAAAATTGAATACTTTCTACAATTAATGGATAACACTCAGAAACTTACAGCCAATGCTATATCTAGTATTTCAAGAAAACATTAAAATAGAGCCTATTAAACACTGAAAGTGAATTGTTTCATCACAAGTTAAACCTTTTTCAAGTTTTAAATTAGCTTCAATTGGTGTTGAAACTGTTTTTGCTTCTGCCATAGAAAACTTATCTAATAACTTCGGGAGCAATCTTTTTGATTAATTTTTATTTCAGTTTAATATTATCTTGTTATATTTAAAACTAAACATTTTAATTTTACCAAGATCTTAATTTTAAAATTTTGATAAAATTTTTATTTAATAAATTCTTTTTCTTCATTATTATTTGAAAATAATAAAATCATCTACATATAAAGCTATTATAACAATACTATTAGAAATTTTCTTATAAAATACACAAGGTTCATACAATGATATTTAACCCACTTTGCACATTTTTCTACTTGTTTATTCCACATCCTAGAGGACTGCTTCAAACCATAGATTGACTTTTTTCAAATAAACATATTCCCTGTTATTTATTTCTAATATCCTTTCCAGGTTGTGTCATAAAATTGTTTCATTAATTCACTATTTAAAAATGCTGTAGTCACAATGATTTAATTTCTAAATTTAAGTTTACTGATAATGCAAATAATAATCTTACGGTACTATTTCTTACCACTGGGGAAAATGTTTCTGTAAAATCTTCTCCATATTTTTGATTAAATCCACGCGCTACAAGTCTTGCTTTATGTTTAATTTCGCCATTAACGTCATTTTTCACTGTAAAAACCCATTTGCACTGTACTATTTTTCTTTTTGCTTCAACTAGTTCTAAATCCTTTTTTCACTAATGATTGGTATTCTTCATCCATTGCTTCTTTCCACTTTAACTTTTCACTACTTTTCATAGCTTCCTGAAAACTACACGGATCTGTCAATAATTCACTATGGTAAAGAATGTAATCTTCATATTCTTTTGTCTTCTTGTTTCTCTCGGATCTTCTTTGTTGAATGTTTCTTCTTCTGATTCTTCATCATTCTGATCTTCAACTTCATTTTGATCTTCAATTTCTATAAATTCTTCTTTTATAAACTCTGTTTCTTTTCTTTTCAGACTGTTTTTGGTTAAACTGATTTTCAAAAAAATACTACATCTCTGGACTTTATGATTTGACCTGGATTGTACAGTTCAATCTGTAGCCTGTTCACACCAACAAAAATATACTGTTTTCTTTTTGCTGACAATTTTTGTCTTAACTGCACTGGTACATGTGCTTGTGCAATACAACCAAATACTTTTAAATGTTTTAGGATCAACTTTCTTCAGTCCATTTTTTCTTCTGGAGTTTTGTCTTTTACTGCCTTATAGGGTGATCTGTTTTTGAGATAAACAGCTGTATTTATTGCCTCTGCCCACATCTTATCATCTAGATTTGCTTCTTGCAATAAACACCTTGCTTTCTCTACAATTGTTCGATTTGTTCTCTCTGCTACACCATTCTGTTCTGGAGTGTACCTTACTGTAAGTTGATGTTCTATGCCTTTGGATTTCAAAAAATCTTCAAATGTTGAGTTTACGTATTCTGTTCCATTATCACTTCTGATTTTCTTTATTCCCTTTCCAGTTTGATTTTCAACTAGTACTAAGAATTCCTTGAATACTGTAAATACTTGGATTTAATATTGTATATCACAAAATTTTCACTGTAATATCAATTAACGTAAAGATATATCTTGCACCACTCCAAGATTTTTCTGGTATCGGACCACATAAGTCTGTGTGTATTAGCTCAAGTAACTCTTTAGCTCTCTTACCTCCTGTTTTGTTAAACGGCTTTCTGCTTTGTTTTCCTAGTAAACAAATACTACATTGCTCATTTTTCTCATATAATTGTAATCAACCCTTGTAGCCATTCCATTCTTTAACAAATTCATGCTATAATGATTTAAATGGACCTTATGCTGAAAATTTGTACTGTTAGTTAAATAAGCTTGTTCCATAGTTAAATCTAACTTATAGAGTCCATTTTTATTGCTTGCTGTAACTACAATTTCACCAGTAGCTTTGAAATTTTCTGAATCGTAAATATGACAACCTTCTGAGCTAAATACTACTGTGTGCCCCTTTTCTACCATTTTACTTACTGATAGTAAATTTGCACGCAAACCTGGTATATAAACAATGTTTGTTATTGTTTTCTCACCCTTTGTTGTTTTTATTTTGGCTTTTCCTTCGCCTTCACTTGACATTTTCTCATTGTTCGCTACAATGACCTGCGATTCTACTCTTTTCTTGAAAATCGTAGAGAAACTCTCTCTGAAATGTCATATGAGCTGTTGCTCCTGAATCTATATACCAATTTTGTTGTATATCTCCTGATTCATCTCTCTGAAGAACAGTTTGCAAAGCTTTTTCTGTTTTTACATTTTCTGCCTTCCTGTTTGACTCTTGTGTCTGCTTTCTTCTGCATCTGGCTTCTTACATTGATTTTTGTAATGTCCTGACAATCCACATTTGAAACACTTTATGTTCTTCTTTGCTTGGAAACTTTTTCTTAGAAAATAAAGCGGTCTCATGTTTTTCCTTATTGTCCTTGCCATACTTGTCATCTTGCATCAATCTTGCCTTGACGAAATCACTTGTGATTTTGACATTTGAATTTTCAATTGCCATTACCATCGGATCATATTCAGATGTTAATCCACTTAGCATTATAACACCTAAAAATTCATCGTCGACTGGTTGTGCCATATCAGCTAATTTTTGTGCTATAGACAATGTCTCGTTTACATAAGCTTCCATAGTAGAATAATTTTCTAATCTAATTCTAACTAATCTTCGTATGAGACTCAACCTCCTAGACAAACCTTGATCTTCATAAGCCTTCTGTAAGTTATCCCATGCTTCTTTTGCTGTTTTGGCTGACCTTACATGTGTATAAGCTATAGGTTTAATCATTAAACAGATTTTTGCTAAAGCCTTTTCATCACATCGTTTCTTCTCTGACTCTTTTGATTGGTCATCTGCTTGGTAACCTTCGATGCTTTTCCATAGATTTTCGTGTATTAAAGCCATTCTCATGCCAAACTTCCAGTTATTATAATTCTCCCTCCCTGCCAGTTTTTCAAATGCTAACTGCACCTCGGCCATTTTGTGACAAAATTATAACAATCTTCTGCAAAAGTCCTAGTTGTTTAACTTACTTTTTCAAACAAATACGTTCTAGCAAACACCTTCTGTTATCTGGTCCCATAACCTATTGGGTGTGGAAACTAAATCTGGAGTTTTTGCTTTAACTATTTATTAAACAAAGTAAAAGATGAATAACAAAAAACAAACTAAAAAAACTAATGAAACATAGGTTATTGAGATTTTCTTACAATGAACTGTCACTCTACATATAACCTTTAATATATAGATATAATTTATTTTAATAATTTTATTAAAATAAAAATTGTTTTCTAACAAAAAAGGCAAAATGTTACATAATATCTTCACAAAATTAACTGAAATCATCCCGGAATTATTTGTATTTGCAAATCGAATGATGGACCATCAAACAGGTAAAGATTTCTTACTTTTATTACAATATAAATAAACAGTTGCTTTGTGTAAATGTGGAAAATATTTAGTATTGCATAATTGCATTACTTGTAAATTTGTATTTGAAAGCACACTTAAATACAAATATATAGTATTTTTAATACCCATTTAGAATAACACCATCCTTATTTATTATTAATAAATCAGGTGAAACAAAAAATTACCAACAAAAATGAACGTCGATTACTAATAATTTGTTATGTCATTGCTTGAAGTTGCTCTGTTAATGTCATAACAATATATATCTGAATTTGTTTTAAATATAACGTGTATTGTTGGTTGCATAAACAGTTAGGGGTTTAAAAAAAAGTATTTCCAGAAAACATAATTTATTAAATATTTCTTTAAGTACATGATTTAATCTTTTTCTTTAAAAGTTAGATATCCAAACCAAGCCAACTGTGTATTTATATATCTATTTTATTACACTAAAAACCTAGCCATGAATTATTCAGTTAAATATAACTAACTTACAGACGAGAGCAACTACCTATTTGATAGTATGGAGAAGAGTAATATAAGGAAAATTATTAAGGTTATTTATTACCTTCCGCATTTCCCATAATAAAAAAAAAACTCTTATGTTATTATTTAGATATTATAGTATCTTT